AGAGCCTCACACATTTGCATGCTTTGCAGCCAAGACCATAGTTCCACCTTTGCCTGCGTCATCTTTGTTCACTTGAAAGCATTCTGGGAAATCAGCAGTCATGTTCGGAAGTCTGTTGTAAAGTTCTGTAAGATTGCTACTAGTGCTGGAGTTCTTTTCTGAGTGTCAGCAAATTCCCCACTTCTAAATTTACCTAATCTTAATTTTGCAAGGCATATAGAAAAAGACAACTTCCTGTTCTAAAGGGGAATTGTGCTGCCTTTAGCAGGGGGAAACAGTCTCTCTAAGATCTGAAAGAAAAGGTTCCATTACAACCTTTTCTTTCTGACAGTACTTTTAGTCAGACTCATCAGGCACTCTGAAGTTGTATCCAGAACTCTTTTCCTGTGTAGACATCTCTGCAGAATCTGCCCTCTGGTAAAGAATTAGGTCCTGAAGTTTGTAATCCCTAGCAGTCATGAAGAAATGCAGGTAGCTTGAATGTGACTGGTGAGAGCCCAGGACATGAGTATCTGTTCTGTTGCTCTAGTGAGAATAGTGTTAACTTAGGGAGTAGAATTTCTCTGCTTGTTTCCCTTTGGCAATGAGTGCCTGGGGGACTGAGTTATTGTGATTGCAGGTTGCTACTTTTCAGTTTTGTTTTTGAAGTTCTAGTTTGTTTTTAAAGAGGCTGAAGACCTGTTTGGCACTGTAACAGTTGGCTAGTCCAGTTGGGTTTGTGGCCATCATTTGTCCTATTTTTGTGGAGTAGTGGGTGAGAGCAAGATGTGGCACTGGTAGTTTGGCATGCCAGATTAGAAGAGAGAGAAAAGAGAAGCTAAACATCAAATAATGATTCCCCCCCCCCCACTTTCCTGTTCCAGTTCTGGGAACTCTCTTTGCCAAATCCACTACTTCCCCTTGTTGCCAGGTCATTTGTAATTCATGGGTTCATCCTAAATGAAGGGGCCACTCTGGCTTGAATCACAGAGAACTGGTTGGATGATGCAGCTAGCCCTGTCAGCAGTACTACTTTCTCCTGCCAGATATTTTTTTGTAGAGAGGGCATTTCCTGCTCTTTAAAGAGGCACTGATAAAAACCCTTTCTCAAGAAACGTGTGAGGACCCCATGACCTTAATTAATTATAGGTTGTTTTCAAACCTACTACTCCAGGTTCTTCTGGGTGATGTTTATTTTGTCTAGGTTCTTAGCTGTTTGAGGTAGGCCTGTTTACGAGACTGTCTTAACAAGGAACTCAAGGCAGTTTAAGTAATTCTCCTCCTCCTCTCCATCTTATCCTCACAACAACCCTGTAACAACTACTACCTATATCGCATCATACATCATTCCCTACTCTCTATCAGGAAAAGGATGAGCGTATAATGTAGAAAAATACTGTATGAGCTTTGTACTTCAGGAAACAAAATGCAGGATTTGGAAAAATTTTGAATTCTGAGAGAACAAGGTGGCCACATGCAGAATGACACACTGGCAGAGTCTGCCAATCTGTTGTGACAGCAACAGTGGTATTAAAATCCCTGGGGAAGAATTGAAAAGGGAACAGCCGTCTCTAAATCAGAAAACAGCAAGACACTAATAGCCTTATGATACTTGTTCATATCATAAGGGCTAGGAACATAGTTGATTTTTAAATGCAAATTGAGAGCCCTGGAATTTTAGAGGAAAATTTCATAACCTTTGAAGTCATTCATACTATGTGCACGTATGTGTGTTTGAATGGTACTATTTGATAATGGTGCTGTATGGAATGGCCTTTTTCTCCACTCTAGAAATGGTTGTCACACTTCAACCCAGGGCAGGTGAATCCAGTGTAATATTATGGGGCTTTCTTCTACTGTTTGAAGCAGCAGTTGTTTTAGAGTTCTACAGAGATGACCAGATAATGGGTACCTCCAACAGATAGCCATTTGGTGAGGATTCCAGAATCTCAAAAGGACTAAAGGTTTGTTCAAACCTGGCAAGCTTCAGCAAGAAGGTATAACAAACCTGTAGCAATAAGTATATTGCCAGGACTCTTACAGAGTGAAGATTAAGAAGACTACTAATGCAGCTGAAGAGCAGCAGGGGCCAAAATGGAGTCAAGAGGATTAAGGGATTGAGGATTAGTGTCCTAAGGGACCAACCAGGTCTGGGAATCACTTGCAGAGCTGGGTGAGGTGAGGAAGGATTTACAGACCTATAGCATGAAGGATGAAGAATTGGATTAGAGGGTATTGATCCATGCCATTCGCAGATTCTTATGTACACTCTCAGATTCTTGAAAGCCACAGCTCTGGAGATACAAGCTCTGTTATGTTGTGTAGCTGGCTTGTATATTCAGTTTCCTCATTAATGGGGACTCAAACACGACCCTGCTAACATTTGACAGGAGAGTTCTGATCAGGATGAATCTGAGGGTTTGATTACAGCTGGTGCCACAAACTTTAGAAAATGATGCCACAGGAAACTGGCATGTGAAAACTAACACTATTTAATAGTCTGCATCTCTTCTTACTGAAACAAGTTTTGGTTCTACAGCAGTTCTGCCCAGAACTTCCTTCCGTGTACGCACTTGTGATATACCTTCTTTGTTCATTTGTTTTTTAGAATATATACAACCCACTTACTACAATAGCACTCAGGATAGCAAGCAATATTCAAAATATTATTACAGACCACCAGCATAAGAGAAACAAATCAGACCCAAATTACTCTGGAGGAACTCCTGGTTAATTTTGCTCCAGCGGGGTCTCACGTGGCCAGAAATGATTATGCTGAGTGTACTAGGTCCTGTGACCGGACCCATTGCTGAGGGCAGGCTGCACTCATCCTTGCTAAGTGCCAAATGGGAGCTGGGAGCGGTAGTCTAGCAACACAGAAGCCCTTCTGCTGCAATGCAATTGCCACTAACGCTGTCTGGTAGACAGTGTTCCATTTGGATGGGAGTTGAGGTTCCTGTTCACTTTAGCACTTAAAGTGGTAAAGGTTGCCTCAAAAACAATATCGAAACCTCAAGCAAGAGGCAAGTCAGAGCAAAATTGGGCGTGCGGTTTATGCTTCAGTGTTACCCCCATGACTAACCCAGGTAGGACTGCCTGCAGAAAATGAGCCTGAATTGATCATTAGTTGCTTCTTAAACAATTTCTTGGTTAATTCTTTTGAGGTATATTTTGAATATAGGTGTTCTTGAACTCTTACAACATAATAAAAACTACCACTCTTGATTAGAAAGCCATCTTGAGTATCTGCTCTTTAATTCTTTACAGCTGTGAAACACCAGTACTCGAGTAGCGCTTTCTTTTCTTTTCTTTTCTTTTCTTTTCTTTTCTTTTCTTTTCTTTTCTTTTTTTAAAGTGTGCCCTGAGCTCTCAGCCCTACCAGTTCAGGTAATCTGACTTTACTTCACCCCAGTCTGATCTGTACCACTGGACACAGTAGACACCATTCTGCAGTACTGGGTCAGGCCTGGTGCCAGGCCGTGCTTAGCTATCCCCCTTTCCGTCCTTTGGTTTCCTCCAGTGAGCCCTTTTTTCCCTGAAAGAAGAGCTCTTATACTTTGCTCTCCAGAAAGATCAAATTCTGCTTTCCAAATAAATTATGTAAATAACAGTAACGCAAAATTGCCTTGCGTGTAAAAGCTCACATCACTTCCTTTGTTCTGGAACGCAAGTCCTTGAGGTTCCGCCGAGGGAGGTGTGGTGGAAATGGGTGGTCTTGAGCAAGGGAACTCAGTGGCGCAGGGTGAGCGCGTGGGAGAGGGACCTTGCCACTGGTCGCCTGCCTGGGAGCGCACAGGTGGCAGTCCTGCCAGCAGGCCTTCTTCCGTGCATCTCACAGCAGAGAAGTGGTTCTTCCCACCTAGGTGGGCATAGGGTGGGAATGCTTTTTCCCCACATAAAATACCCATCATCCACGGTAGGAAACCACTGCCTGTACTGGCTGCAGATAATGGAAGGACTGTAGTTCAGTACATCTGGAAGGCACCACACTGGGAAAGGTTGCTGCTGTGAGGAGACAGGAAGCCTTCACTCATGGTTTTCTGGTGCTAGGGTGAGAGCGGCTTGGCTCAGGAAGAGTTTGTAATCTACAAGTTTCTAATGCAGATGGGTTGATAAAAATGGTATGTGTCCCTGTAACACAGGTGGACCTGCTTGCACTGCCACTTAAATTACGTGGTGAGAAGAATGCCTTTGTATTGCTGGCTGCAGCACCTTTTCCTCACAGCTGACTGTTTTCCCCTGCAGGCTGATGGTCTGCAATGGATCGGTTGTGGACGGCCTGCTGGAGGCTTCCCACTGAACATTTATGGCAGGTGCAAGCAAACAAAATCCTATGAGTATCTCATTTTAAGTTAACCTGGATGGCTGCAGCATCTTCTCTAGTGCTGGTTTGGTTTGGTTTTTTAAATCAAGTTTTATGTTTCAGTTGCACCCAACATGTACATATGTCTGTCATTTTATTATTCCTTGACATAAGGTAACCTCATTTCACTTTCTTTAGCCTTAAAAATGGGACCAACAAGTAGATCGTGGATCAAGGCAAAATACCTCTTGGAGGCTTCTCTTGCGATATAGTTCATGGGAACCACTGAGAAAGTAGGACCCTTAGGGCTCTCCCACTCCGTGTCTTCTCTAACAAACCCCAACCTGACTTGGCACTTTGAAAAACACTGGGAAAAGCCAGTGCGGTTTAGTGAAAAGCGTGCAGGACTGGGACTCTGGTGACCTGGGTGCCACTCTCTGCTTGGCCATGGAGCCCACTGAGTGACTTTAGGCCAGTCACTGACTCTCAGCCCAGCCTACCTCACAGGTGTGTTGTGAGGGGAAACGTGGAGATGGAGAACCACCGTGTGAGTCACCTTTGGTTCCTTGCAAGAAAAATGATGGTGTACAAATACAGTAAATGTAAAGGATCCCATGAATTTAAAAAAAAACCAGACTGGAGGGGTAGGGGAAAGGGGAGAAACCAATGAGGTGGCTTGCTGCAGTTCACTGACACTTTCTTCACATGCATTTTCCAGGTGAATGTCCACTGGAGGGGCGAGCACAAGAAGACAGAGTAGAGGCCTGTGCCTGTGAAGGATGCTGAAGAAAAGCAGCCTGGTTCTCTGGGGCGTGGTGCTTTTTGTGGCCTGGAACGCCCTGATCCTCTTCTTCCTGTGGACTAGGCCGCAGTCCTTCTCCGACCACAGCCGCCTTACTGCAGAGGTAATCCGACTGGCCCAGGATGCTGAGGTGGAGCTGGAGCGCCAGAAGGCCCTCTTGAACCAGATCCGCCGCTACAGTGCCCTTTGGAGCAGACGAAAGGCGAATGAGGCCGAACGGCTCCATCTGTCAGCTGCGGCATCTGCCCAGCCTCCCACGGCTGCCTCCTTGTCCCATCGCAGCCAGATCTCACCAGATGCTATTTTACCAGTTCTGGTGATCGCCTGTGACCGCAGCACAGTCCGCCGTTGCCTAGACAAGCTGTTGCATTACCGTCCCTCGAAGGAGCGGTTCCCCATCATTGTGAGCCAAGACTGTGGGCACGAGGAGACAGCCAGGGTCATTGCTGCCTATGGGGATGCGATCATGCACATCAAGCAACCCAACCTGAGCGATATCCCTGTGCCCACTGACCACCGCAAGTTCCAGGGCTACTATAAGATTGCTCGGCACTATCGCTGGGCCCTGAGCCAGGTCTTCCGGACCTTCAAGTACCAAGCAGCCATTGTAGTGGAGGATGACCTGGAAGTAGCGCCAGATTTCTTTGAGTACTTCCAGGCGGCCTTTCCTCTCCTGATAGCTGACCCGACTCTCTGGTGCATCTCTGCCTGGAACGACAATGGCAAGGAACAGATGGTGGATGCTGCCCACCCAGAGCTTCTCTACCGTACAGACTTTTTCCCTGGGCTGGGATGGCTTCTGCTGTCCGACCTCTGGGATGAGCTGGAGCCCAAGTGGCCCAAGGCCTTCTGGGATGATTGGATGCGACAGCCTGAACAGCGGCAGGGCCGTTCGTGCATCAGGCCCGAAGTGTCGCGCACTATGACTTTTGGCCGCAAGGGCGTGAGCCACGGTCAGTTCTTTGACCAGTACCTGAAGTTCATCAAGCTCAACGACCGCTTCGTGCCTTTCACCCAGATGGACCTTTCTTACCTCAAGAAGGATGAGTACGAGCACTCATTCCTGGCCCAGGTCTACAGTTTCCCTGAGCTGCGGGTGGAGGAGCTGCAGGGCAACCAGCACCGGGAGCTGGGCACTGTCCGTGTGCAGTACACCACTCGTGACTCCTTCAAGGCCTTTGCAAAAGCCTTGGGTGTCATGGATGACCTCAAGTCAGGCGTGCCCCGTGCCGGCTACCAGGGCATCGTCAGCTTTCTTTACCGAGGCCGCCGTGTTTACTTAGCACCTCCTTCTGACTGGACAGGCTATGATCCCAGCTGGAGTTAGCAGCCGATGATCCTTCAGCATGCTGGACCCTAGGAGGGAAAGGGGGCTTGGGGTGGGGTGAAACTCTGATTATTCTTTTTTTCCTGTGTGGCATTCGAGTGCATTCCAAGAACGAGAGTTGTTTTGTGCACTTAAAATGCTGAGGGAGGAGGGGCAGGTTCTGATGGTTTTTCTGATGCCGCAACAGAGGACAAGAAGGTGAGCAGTCCAAGCTCGCTCAGTCCTGTCCTCCAGTGCCTCTCTTCCTCTTTGACGTGGTGGCCTGTCCACTCATCAGATCCTTGGTGGCGTCTCCAGATCAGTGCAGTTTGAGGTCAAAGCCAGTGCTGAACCAAAGCAGGAACCTACTGAGGTTTTCTAAGCTTCAGTGAGCTGTTGCAGACTTGTGCAATGTTATGATCCAGCTAGCAAAATGCAGCTCACTAGCCACATGGTAAGGTCTGCCGGGAGCTTAATAATTCACCCGTGTCATGTATGTCGTTGCAAGCAAGCAAACATGGGGGAGTTATTAAATTCCTTTTATGCTGCTGTACCTTGCCGATGTGCCGTGTTTGGCTTGATTGGATCCCAGTTTCTGCACGCTCAAGCTCGAGGGCAGACATGAGGACCTTTTCTCGCCTCTTGCTACCTGTTCAGTTTTCATCTTGGCATCTGCTAGATGCAGGCCTCAAAGGCAGGAAGCGCCTTCAGATGATCGGTGGACCCCTGTAGAAGGACCATCTTTATTGACCATATTGGCCATTTTTTTACTTGGGTGTCCTGGGTAACCTAATTGTTTAATCCTGTTGCATGGAGGAATGGAGATCAGATCTGTACATTGATAGATACACCTGAATGTCACTTGCTCACGTGAGGTGAAGTGGGAGGAAAGAGCCCCTTCTACAGGACTTGCCTGAGCAGTTGTGCAAAGTAAGGGGAGAGAATGGAACTGAATGTTGAACGGAGAGAATGTTCCCTTTTATAGCTCCATGTCGAGGTCCGTTAACTGAAACCTAAGTGAAGTCATAGGAGGAGTGCGATGGGCATTTTCTTCTCTGCCACCCGCTATCCCCATCCCAAAGCCTGACACTGAGTCACAGACGTTTGGGACGCTCTGCATCTCCAGCCGCTGCTTGCCCAAAGAGCTTCCTGTCAACAAGCCCTTTAGGTAGCTCTGACAGGCAACCTAAAGCGGCCTTCCCCAACCGAATGCCCTCCAGATGTGTTGAACTGCAAGTCCCAGCATCCCAAGCTGGCACAGCCATTGGCTTGTCCTCCTCCGTACTCACCGTCGGTATGTTCTATCGCCACCATCGTATACCAGCTGCGGGACGTTTAAGGGGAAGGCAAGGCAATTTGTGGCCCCCTGCGCATGCCGCGTGCTCTTCCCGAAAGTGAGGAGAGCGGTCCCCTGAGGCTGCCTTAATTATCCTTGTGGGGGAGCCTCCTTCCTCAGTCGAGCATCGCGGCCGTGCTTGCTCGCTCCCCAGTGGCATTTCCTCATGGCTGGTTCCACTGGCTGCTAGATTGGCACTGGTGCAGCCACGTCTGTGGGAGGAGCGGCGGGGAAGAACCCCTGAAGCAGCAGGCCTGGCAGAGGAGCCCAGCCTTATTCAGTGGTACAGAGTTGCGCGTCCCCGTTCTTCCCGTGTTGCTCGGCTGTGCCAGACCCTCTCCATAAGGCGGGTGTGCAGAAGGGACTTCAGACCTCATTTGGCCAAAATTCCTACCACACCAAAGGGTAGTATTTTGTTTATTTGTTTTGGATGCTATATTACTTTTGTGTCTCTTCTTTTTTAAGACATAATACTGCCTCCATGATGAATGGAAGAGGAAAGCTTATCTTGCTTTTGAATCGGACTGAAAGAACTCCCTTCCTGTGGTCGAGTGCAATGAAATGAGTGTGGGAGGGTTTCCTGCCATCTCTTTGTGCTTGTGGTTGATGCAGATGGGAGGGCGGAAGACGGTGCCTTGCGGGTGCTGAATGGCCTGACGTATCTACTTAATTGTGTTTTTGACATTCTGGAAAACAGCAGTATTGCTGCAGAGTGTTGAGATTGCTCAAGGAAGGGGACTGTTCATCCAGATCCTCTAGCTTGAGATTTTGATATTTTTGTTCACCTTAGATCCTTTGTGAGGAAGGGGCACAGTGAAGAAGTACTTCATTGTGTGGGATGAAATTATATATTTCCCAGATTTGTGGGATTTCTGGAAAAAGGAAGTAAGGTAGAACTTGTACAGAACATGGATGGGAGTATCTATGGAAGGCAGAGATCCACCATGGCCTCTCTTCTCTTGCCTAACTTCTTGAAGTGTACATGTGCAAATGCTGCCTCGGGAGGATGGAAGAGAGCCTGTGGTGGTCCGTTGGCTTTTAGTTGGAATCTCTGGATTTCTCAACCAGTTTTAACCCCTCCTTTCAAAATCAGACTCATGGGCTGCAACATCAAAGCAGAAAACAACTCCAGGGTTGTTCTTGCTTTCTGCTATATGTTCCTTGTCTCAAAATTATCTCCGGTGCATAAGAAGGAGCACCTCAAAGGAGGACACCTCTTACCAGTGGAAGACAGCTACTGAGGAAGGGGAGGAAGACAGCTCTTCTGTCTCCATCTGCTTTCTCCTCCTGTCTTCAGGGGCAGAGGCAAAGGAAATGGCTGTTGGAAATCTGCCTTGCCTGCACCTTTGCCCTTCTTGTCTGGGCAGAAGTTAGTAGCATTTACCTATAGGACTCTGAGGAATTCACGCACCTGCCCACCCTTCCCCACTACCAGCGGATGGACAGTATTCTAACCAAGTGATTCCTGCACAAGCAATCTGCCTTGAAGGCTTCTCCTGTTCTTCCTGTCTCTACTCCCAGCCGGTATACTGGAGGGCAGGGATCTCTGAAGCTCATCCATCCCAGCTCTGCCCACGCTCCCTCCTGTGGCATGGCATCTGTGTGCGCGTTCTGTCCTCACTTGCAGTGCTCCCACCTCCCTTTCCATTCCAGGCAGTGACTTGGCTGAAGGGAATGGAAGGAGATCGGCTGAGATCCTGTGTGGTGCTGGGTCAGTTAGGGAGAATCCACCAGCAGCTGCAGTTTTCCCCCTTCTTTCCCAAGCCCCATTCTCCTCCATCGAACTGTCTCTCTTGAAATTCCAACTGAAGACAAGCTTGTGAAAACTTGGGATCATTGAATTAAGGTTTTGGATGCAGAGATGCTGTTTTTATGTCCAGATTCAATTGGTGAAAAAAAAATAAAGATGCAAAAACTTATTTTCCACAAAAAAATAAAAGCCGGTCCTTTTCAGACACCTGTGTCTTTGATGTAGTTGAGTCATTTCATGCCTGATAGTTGGCGTTTTAACTAGACGGAGTTCAGGAAAGAACAAATTGCTGTTGTGACCAGTCAGACCAAAGATCTGTTTAGGCCAGCGTTACATGTGATCCCGGGGTGCGACCTGCCTATGCACACACGTTGTAGCGATCCTGCAATGGATCATTCTCCTCTGCTTCTAGTGAAGAATATGAATTGAGAACACTGGAGAAGCTGCTGCGAAGACTGCGGGTGGGAACAAGGGTTGTGCGTCCCTGACCTAGAGCAGTGTTCCTTCCTTAAGCCAGCCAGCTTCTCACAGACAAATGATCAGTTCATTCCTGCCCTGCCTTTCTTCCCCTTGCAAGGAACCCAAGGCAACCTACAAGGTTCTCTTCATTTTATCCTCAGGCACGAACCCTGTGTGGTAGGTTAGGCTGAGACTCAGTGACTGACCCAAAGGCACTCACTGAGCGCCACAGTCGGACGGGGACTAGGACTCGGGTCTCGCGTCCCAGTCCTGCAGAGTCCCAGTGTTTGCCCTCCCCTCTTGCTGCATGCCAGGGGAATGGGCCCAGGGGCAGCCTACCTCTCAACAGAGCTGTATTCCATTCGGAGCGAGGACTGTACATCAGCATGCTTGGCAGCCATGGGTAAATCTCCAAACTCATACGAGCAACTGCAAGTCATGTTGAGTGTTTATCAGTGTAAAATCAAGGTTCTGGAAATTAAGAGTATGCTGAAGTTAGATAGGCGGGCAATTTCAGAAGCTGCTGCAGAGCAGAACATTCATCTGGACGAGTTCTTGGCCAACTGTGACGTGGTGCAGCTACCTCTCCCTGTTCTTTAAACACTCCCTACTGATGGTTCCTAAGTCCTCTGCACACACCACCAACACACTCCCGTTCCTCGCAATCCTGGCACTTATGCAAAACAAGCCCATCACATGTGAGTTTGCATAGTTCAATCCAACTGTTAAACAAAGCTCCAGGAGGCTTCCTTTTATTTAAAACCGGTCATGTTTGAATGAAGAAAAGAAAAGGTGCTTAACTCTACAAATGGCTGCTTTTTTAAAAGAGTGTGACCAACCTTCTAAGACTTTGGCAATCCTGGTTTCTCCTCTGAAAACCTCCCAGGGCTGGTACACCTACATACAAACAAAACTTTTCTGCCAGCTGTTGAATAAATTGGTGGTAGGGTTTGTAGGCTACTGCAGGATAATGATGAATCGTTGGCCTGCTGCTGAGTTGGCTGCATTTTGACTGTGAGATCATTTCCATTATTTCTTCCCAGAAAGATCTGTTCCTCTGTGCCTTCCAGGCTTCTGCCTCTTTCCCTCCAGCTGCTGCAATTTTCTTAAAATATTTGTCAAAGCAGGAGAAGTATCAGCTGGCATTGGAGAACCAGAAAGATATGACTAGAAGAAGTAGGCAGGGGGTAATGATCTGGAGAGCTAGCAGGCTAGGCCAGTGCCCCCACCTCCTGAAAAAGCATTGAATTAAACGTTATTGATCATATCCTGTGTCCGCCTGCTTTCAGGACTCTGTATCTCTTAAATAAACACAGCTGAATGTTGGTGCAGGACCGAGAGCGGCTCTTCTCTGTGAGCACCATGGAGGAGAAAGCAAAAGGGATCCAAAGAGCTGTGCAGCTCCATGACACAATTTTCTTCCCCTCCTTCCAAACTTTCTATTCTACCATCTTATCTCAAGACCCCAGGCAGTTGAAAATATATACCAGCTATAGAATGGAAGACTAGTTTTTAAATTAGTTTTGCAATGGCATATAACTGAAGGGAGGCTGTAATAATTCCCGAGAAGGGGAAATGAACCAAAGGAGAGTTCTATATTTAGCCGAGTGGTGTGGTGGGAACTAGGAAGGAACACAAGTCATCACTGTATCACCAAGTTTGGATTTGACTTAGACTCATTTAATGATGCGCCCCATGTAGGTCTCTTGTGACTATCTGCTTGATATAAAATGGTTTAGCTACCTCATACTACACCTGAAGCACCACTACAATTTTTATGTAATTTGGATTGTGGCGGGGGGGGGGGCAGTTTAAGAAAGACGAAAAGGAAAGGAAAATGTATCAAGGAATTATTTTTCATGGGAAGTCTTTTTGAATCGAATCTAATGTTTCACAAGTACAGTAACGCAAGGCATGTCTGGTAGATTTGCTTGGAATGGCCAATCATAGAAGGGAGATTAGTTTCAGTCCCTCTGTTTTTGTTTATATGTTAGTTGCATTGCTTTTTAGTGAGGATAAAGTCTTAATCCATTTATGGGAAAGTTACAAGCAACTAAAGCCTCAATCCTACACATGCTTGGGCATAAAGTCCTACAATTCCTGGCATACATTTGTAGGCCTCCCCCCCCCCCCCCATTTTCACATGAGTAGAAGTGAATGCTAAAAGTAGATTTCCTATTGCAGGTTGAAGCTAAAAATGATTCTGTATCTGAAGAGGTTGACCAGTATGTGTGTTTTATGGGAAGCAAAGTAATACATTGACCTTATAAAAGTATTGCATTTTTATTGATTAGTCCCAGTAAGTGGAATTAAAATTCCATTTGCTTCTAAGAAAGAAAGAGAAATTTATATTCGGGTGAGCCCTCTTGTGTGTACATACCCCAAGATGTGAAATGCCTGCACAAATTCCATTTTTATTGGGGTAGCTTGAGCTGGGCTTTGTATGCAAGCATGCATATTCAATTAAAATGCTCCATTGAATTGGTGCAGAAAGGGCTCCTGATAGCTCTTGGGGGAAAGCAGAAAGCAGAAGAGCGGTTCTATTTGGTAGATCTCTGGATAAATTGAAGTAAATCAGCAAATGGTTCAAGGAGGGCAACAATAAAATGATTCCTCTCCATTTAAAAATAAGCCGCTGCAGTGAAGGAAGCCAGCGGCTCTCAGGAGTGGAGCTTCTGCGTTCAGAACAGGTGCTCTTCCACTTAGCTATGCCATCCCTGCTGAGGCACACACTCCCTACCAGAGCCATAATTTCACCAGTTTAGTCACTTGACAGAATAAGAGGGATATTAAGCCATAGAAAATGAATGTATTTTCTTAGTACTATCCCTGCTGCAGAAAGAAGAAAATGGTAGTGCATCAACCATTTTTAGCTAAATGTTAATGGAAAAATTCACTAATTTCATCACTAACACCAAACCCAAATGGTGAGTTCTTGGAGCAATGGAGTGGAAGCAAGAACACAGAGAAACAAAATCGAGATCATCACAACACTTGGGAAAGCCCGGTTTTTGCAGAGACAAATGTTAAATCACAAACCTAAGCCGCCTTCCTAAAAACCGCTCAAGGAGGACTGACGACAATATGCTGTCATCCGGTTAAGGTGGAAGAGAAGTGAAAAAGTCCTCGGTGGCAAGAACCCAGGGTGGAAGTGCTTCTCTTACTGCATGTTGTAACATATTACTACATGAAGGATAGACTGCAACCTCTCGCTGCGGGCCCAACTTCTATTCTACATTGATACTTAATTCTCACGGGGACTCTCAGAGTGGCCAACAAACTTAGTAATTCTAATGAGGAGTATTAACAATAGCGCTTTTAATCATTGCGTAATAATTCGAAGAGGAATGACCAAACACTCTCCTTCCTGTGTAAAGCGAACCTCTTTCCACTCGGGGGGGGGGCGGGGGGGGGCAAAGGCATTCTGCAGCCTGAGACAAGGCAATGCCAAGTTGTCGTAAGACTTGAGGTTTCCGAGTTCCTGTCGGAAAAAGCCGAGCGGCTCGTCGTGATCCACGATGCCATCGTGTGGCAGAAACGTGGAATGGCAGCCAGCTGCCCCGGTTAGCAAGCTGAGCCAAGCAGCCGCGCTCTCTCTGTATTTTAAAAATGTTACTCCGGCCGGACAGGGTCCAAGACAATCCTGACTTCAGCTTATCCTTACAGACTCCACCGAATTAACCCTCCTGCTCGCCATGACAAGTGTTTTACTGGACAGGCAGGACTTTCCCGCGGAGAAACCCCTGCCTGCGGTTCGTGTTTCCGTTCCCCCACCCACACTAGCGGGGCTGGGGCACGATTCCTAGTCTTGACCTTCACCTGTCGTTGCGACGTGCCGTCAAGTCGTTTCCGACATACACGACCCTATGAACGAACGCCCTCCAAGGTATCCCGTCCTTGACATCCGTGCTCACCGCTTGGGCACTCAAGGTCGTGGGCTTCCTTTATGGGACGGATCCCTCACCCAGCCCAACGGGTTCAGCACGACTGTCATCCTGCGCCCGCTTTCCTAAGCCCAACCACAGACAGAGGGACTTGTAAGTAAACACGCACCGGATTCGCTTGCATGACACGTATCCACTTTGTCTGTGAAAAAGTCCCTATCCAAATTAAATTGGTCCAGTTTGCACATCATGGGTGGATTTAAACATCCATGACATGGAAATTAAATCAATAGAGATGGCCTAGGTTTACTTTTCATTGCAAATAGAAAAAAATAGCAAGTATCTCATGGCAAGGGTTCTTATGCATTGTGATTGAGAGCCAACGTCACGTACCTTCGATAGCTCAGCTGGTAGAGCGGAGGACTGTAGAGTTACCTCATAAGTCATCCTTAGGTCGCTGGTTCGATTCCGGCTCGAAGGACAAGTTTTTTTTCCGTCTCACTCGCGGACGAGTATAATTAAATAAAAAGTTCTAACCCCTATGAAAAGAAAAAACCAATCTGTATTTTTATTTTTTTTTTAATGTTTATTTTTAAAAATGTTATTAAATGCTCGTGGCATGGGCTGCAAAGCAAGCATCCAGAAATGCTTACATCGGACTGGGTCAAAGCCCCATTTTCTCGACCACAATCTATAATTCTGAGCAAAGAAGCATTTTCACCAGGCTCTACTTGCTGATCCTGTGCTTGTGAATTTTACTCTTTTTTTAGTTCCAATCCCACATTTACTTACTTGAAGAATAAGCTCCATTGAATTTAGTGGGATTAACTTCCGAGTACCTACGAGGATTGCGTTCCATATCTTCAGACCATGCGGCAACCATTGCGTTCCGTATTCTCAAACCAAAAGAAACAACACAGTATATAATATTAGCTGTAAGGTAAGGAGAGTTTTCTTAACAAAAAACGAGTCAGGAACATTCCGTGCAAAACGCTGGAACGGAGCTCTCTGATTGGCTCCTTGAAACGAGAATGAGATTATCCGATTGGATGCGGAAGGATCGAGCGCAGTAATTGGATGATGCGATCGGCCGGGCAACTCGAGCGGCTGCTGCGTCTTAGGTCAGCCAAGTTCGATGTAGTTTCACAGGGATGGAGCCTTTGCGCGGGTCGAGAATACCGGGTTTCGCTTGTTAGCAAATGCCAGCGACGGCTGCGATCCCACTGGCCAGGTCACAACGTTCAAGGACGGGATGGCCTTCTCCATCACAGCCTGATGGACTAGAATTTCCATATGACTTTCTTTTAAGACAGGCTGATAACTGGAATGTTTTGCTATGTGCATTATTATTATTATTATTATTATTATTATTATTATTATTATTATAACATTTCTATGCCGCCCCTTGCCGAAACCTCGGGGCGGCTTACAACATGATAAAATACATTGAAATACAATAGTACATAATAAATTACCATTAAATATAACAATACAAAAAATACATTGATTTACAAATACAAAATTAAAATTATCAGTATAAAATAAAAATATAGGAGAAAGAGAAGGAAGAAGAAGTTGCCCAGGCCAGATCATATGTTTTAACAATTGAAATGATGTTTAAATAAAAAGGTCTTTACCTGGCGCCGAAAAACCAGTAACGACGGTGCCAGGCGGACCTCTTTGGGGAGTGAATTCCATAGGTTGGGCGCCACCGCAGAGAAAGCCCTCCTCCGGGTACTTACTCTCCTAATTTCTTTCATGGAGGGTTCCCGGAGAAGGGACTCTCCCGCAGATTAGACCTTTTAAAAATTATTAACTGACCCACAATGCAAATGAAAGGTTGTGAATATTATTTAAACACATTAAGAATTAGACACAGCCAACCAACACCTGTTAAGGCATTCAGCTACTCTGAATGGAGTGATTATGAGCTTTAATCGACTGCATGCATCATTTTTTAAAAATATACTTTGTTTTCTGGTTATGCATCACACCTAGTTGTTGTTATCTGCTGTTGTCTTTGACCTATGATGACCCTATTTATTTAAAACTTTTATATGCCATCCCTTATGCACAGCATCTCAGGACAGCTTACAATCATTAAAATCAAAATACAATAAAACAATCCAGTATAATAAATAACATATAACCAGTAAAATAAATTAAACCAGAAGTGACTGCTAAAACATTAAGATACTAATTTTTAAAATAATGATTGAATAAAAAGGTTTTGACCTGGTGCTGAAAAGAATATAAGCTCGGTGCCAGGTGAACCTCTCCGGGGAGCGCATTCCACAATCTGGGCGCCACAACAGAGAAGGCCCTACTCCGAGTAGATGTCCTTTTTACCTCCTTCAGGGAGGGTTTCCAGAGCAAGGCCTCTCCCATAGGTCTTAAAGGGTGTGAGGGCGTATAAGGAAGGAGACGTTCCTTCAGGTATCCTGGTCCCAAGCCGTTCAGGGCTTTATAGGTCAAAACCAACACCTTCAATTGGACCCGGACTTCAACTGGAAGCCAGTGGAGCTTGTAGAGGACAGGCCTTATGTGAGAATAATGACCGGTCCCCATCAGCAGCCTGGACACTCTATTCTGTACTAGCTGGAGTATCTGGACCATTTTCAAGGGCAGCCCCATGTAGAGCCTATGAATGAAAGCCCTTTAAAATGCCCCATTCATGACAGCTCCAGTCTGTTCTTCCATTCTGGAGGCTATGGCTTCCTTGATGGATTTGATCCATCTCATATTTGGTCTTCCCTTTCTTCTTCTGCCTTGACTTTCCCAAACATGATTGTCTTCTCCAGGGAGTCTCTCCTCCTCATGATGTGTCTGAAGTATGACAGCCCGTGTTCTGTCCTTTCTGTTTCTAGGGAAAGCTCTGGTTTGATTTGATTTCGGACCCATTTCTTTGTCATTCTATCACATTCTATCATGTCAGAAGAGGCATTTTCTTCCACATTTGGGGATGAGCAGAGTTGGCACCTCCAACATAGTTTTGTTACATCATCTCCACTTTCTGGTCATCCTAGCCCCCCCCCCCCCCCCCAAAACTATCCTGCATTGCAGAGCCCTGCTCAGCTCTTCTTAACTTAAGGCCGTGGCTTCCTGAATGGAATCAATCCGCCTCAGATTTGGTCTTCCTCTTCTTCTGCCTTTGACTCAATACCATGGCTGGGTGGAGTGTGCTGAGCACGGCAGGACTTTTTTCTCCCTGAACTTGCACAGGATTGTGCTTTTACTCTTAGTAAGAACGGTGCTTCTGGCTAGAAACAAAATTCATTTATTTCAACCTTCTGTCTGCTCTCCACAGCAGCCAGCTAGAAGCATCTGGAGGCTCCCATGCAGGACACGAAGATACTGCCTGTCCCCTGTTGTTCAGTCTCAACAAGTGATATTAACACAGGGATACTGTATGGGTACACAGAGCATCCTTTGGTATTGTAGAAGGACCTGCCTTTCATTAATCTGTCTAATCTTTTAAAAGCCCTTTAAGGCATGAACAGGAAACCTGTGGCCCTACAGATCCCAACATCCCTGGCATTGACCCTTCTGTCAGGGTCTGGTGGGAGTTGGAACACAGCACTGTCTGGACACCCACACATTCCCCTCTGCGGATTTAAGGTGGAACTGAAGTCCAAAAGACATTCAGTGATGAATACTTCCTTTTGCCAGTCCTGAATCTTTTGCCAGTGCATTTCAATGAGTGGACCTGAGTGTAGGGATACAGAGAAAAGAACCATTCTGGCATGGTGCGGACAGGGGCAGGAGGCAGTTGCATCTACTGGTCCATACCCAGAAGAGGGATTCCTTTTCACCCTTTTGCACATCGTGAGGGAATATGGCTGAGCTCCTGCAGTGCTGTGATGGAGAGAGAGAAAATATTTCCTGTTTCCATTAGTCGAAGATTTATCTGCTGGGGCGAATTTGCCAGATTCTCCACACTTGGCAGGGAGTGTGCTAGACAGTGCTTGCACGCCCTGATATTATTACAGGCTCCTGGGACATATGGCTCTGCAGTTACCAGAAGAGGGGTGTGACTGGGGCAGGCAACATGGGCCCTGTCTGGATTTCTCCAGCATGGCAGCAGAGCTGTGGAACAGGGCTGGCGCAGGTCCTGAAGGGGGCAGGACAGGGAAGTGGAGGTAGACGGCTTGAATTGCATGCCTCTGAGGTGCATTTGCAGCCACCACCAGTAAGCACTTAAGTAGCCATGGGAATAACCTGGGTTTGAATGCTGATCCTTGCTTGACTAGGGTAAAATGTAATATTTCCTGGTCCCTCTCATTTCTAGGAGTCCCAAATCTGAGCAAATGTTCCCATCCAGAGTGCAGTGTGCCTGTTCCTGTCATTTATATGCATCAGGGAGCAACACCTGTCACTTAAAATGTAAACTTGGCCCTTAAGTTTACCATCCAGGGCACAAACTGGTTTCTTCAGTAATGTCCACATCGAAATGTGCATTGTGTACGCCATTTGGCAAAGAAATGGCTCAAAGAAAAGCCAGCCTGCACTTCTCTAACAATTACTTGAGAGCTTCCTACAGGTACCTGGAAGACAATCCTTGCAAACTGAATGCAAGAACTAGAGGGATGTTTCCTCTGATCCAAGTCAGTTGGTATGTTTCTTTCTCTAGCAACAGCATTTGCCATGGGATGAGGAGGAGGGAAATCTTATGACAAAGGGCCAAAGATTTTGGAAAGTGTAAAAATGATTCGATTTATTTTCAGCAAATGTTCCTTAGCCATAACGGGGGTGGGGTGGTCCATTTCTTGCTCCCAGCAACCCTCAGGGCAACTGGAAGTATTGCATGCCTCGAGAGAGCTCTGTTGGATGCCTACTCAGCCCCTTCTCCTTCACTGTGTGAAGAAGTATCTTCTTTGCTCTCTTCTGAATCTGTTGCCATTCAGCTTTGTTGGATGACTGCATGTCCAGAGGGAGAAAAGATGTTTTGTTTTTCCTAATAAAAAGAAGCATGTTTCCTTTATTGCTGGTTGGGACCTGACTTCGAAAACAGACCCCAGTCCTGGCTGAAGCATGCGGCAGAATGAGGCAAGATGGTGGGATCACCTGCTTGGATGGCAAGACCCCAGACTCTTAGGCAGAGGGCTGCTGTTTTTCACCCCCATCACTTGCTACCTGATCTTTTTTGCTGAAGACCCAGAGAACACACCTGGAATCCCGTGTATGCAAGCCACTGAGGGTTCCCCATCCTCTCCAAGCAAGCCATGCACAGAATCTGAAAGCAAAGCGGCTTGCCCCTGGCGGAACCGTACCCGTGTGAGTGGATTCAAACTCCCATCAGCCCCAGTCAGCACAGCTACTGACTGAGGAGTCCCCCGCCCTGCCTTAGAGCACACGTCACATCGGGTAGCAGGATACAGATCCCTGCTTGAGCACCACTTCCTGCTTCAGTCGCTGCTGCCACAAGCAATTCATGCGGGCAGTCATGTCGTTGCCAGTCTTGATGTGCAGAGGCTCAAAACAGCCATAAAAAGGGCAAATGCTATTTTGGGATACATTACTAGAAGTATCACTTCCAAATCATGAGAAGCAGTAGTTCCCCTATACCCCTCATTAGTCAGACTTCACCTGGAATACTGTGTCCAGCTCTGGACACCAAGATATAAAGATGCAGAAGCATTAGAAAGAGTCCAGAGGAGGGCAACAAAAATGATCCAGGGTTTGGAAATGCTGCCCTATGAGGAGAGACTGAGAGCGCTGGGCATGTTCAGCCTTGAGAAGGGAAGACTGAGGGGGGACATGATATCCCTCTATAAGTACCTCAAAGGCTGTCACAAAGAGGAAGATCAAGATCTCTTCTCGCTGATACCAGAGTGTAGGACATGGAATAATCAATTCAAGTTGCGACAATCCAGATTCAGGCTGGACATCAGGAAGAGCTTCCTCACTGTCAGAGCAATACGGCAGTGGGACCAGCGGCCTAGAGAGGTGGGGGGCTCTCCCACACTGGAGACATTCAGAAAGAACCTGGGCAGCCACCTGACTGGGATGGTGTGAATTGGTGACCTGCAACAGCAGGGGGTTGGGCTCGATGGCCTTCATGGCCCCTTCCAACTCTGCTATTCTAGGATTCATTGTGTTAACACGAATATGGCTGCCTCCTCTGCAAAGAGCAACAGTACGTGTAGAAGGTGCCTGATGGATTAGGATCAGTGCTCCCTGGAACTCAGGTGCACCTGCTTGTGACTGCACAGCTCAGCCTCACCCACCTGAAAGGGAACATTTAGCTTTGGAGGAATTGGCTTTTGGATGATCTTGCAAGGAGGTACTAGCACTGACACATCTAGCATGAAAGGAGACACTGTCAAAGAGAAGAAAAAAATGATCAAGTCTCTGTCTGCTTGATTGTCTTCCTCATTCTTAGTCCCGGGGCTCTGGTGGAGGAGGTCATCACTCTGGCTGTACCTGCTGGACTCGTCTGCATTCTCTCTCCCAGGTACTAACTAACCCATCTGACCTAGCTGCTGGTGCCTTTGCTGGCCCCCAACAGCCAACGGGACAGACCGGATAGAGCATTTCACTTGGAGCAGGGAAGAACATTACCCCCCACCCCCACAAAACTCAGGTTAAATATTGCAGCTTTCAAGGCTCAGCAAGTCTTTGCCATTTGCTCAGGGTGCTGAGAATTCTGCCAGAGACCTCTAGCTCGAGTCACAACTACAACTCCCAGAATTCCCTGTGGAGAGAGAATTATTATTAAATTGATTTGAACAGTGGCATAATAGAGATGCCTTACAGTCATGCAATGATGAAGTGTTTTCACAAGGCTGCCAAGTTCATTTTTTGTTGTTTTTTAAATGTCAAGTTGCCATTATAAAAAAAAAAACCCTGTCAGGATGTTTACTTCACACACATTCAACAAAGTCGTCAAGCAAAGGGACATCTTTTTCTGGAGTGGGAATAAATTTATTATAAAAATGTGATGATGAGCAATTTACCTGCTAAATTTGTCTGGCAGGGAGGGTGCTATTAAAGGCACAGGATCAGGGCTTTTAAAAATCACAGCCCTCAGCAAACCTAATAGTCTGATTTTAATGCATGTTTACTAGTAAGTCTCAAATAAATATGCACAGGATTGCAGCTCTGCAGGGCCATCCCAAACATATTTACTCGGCAGTAAGTCCCACTGAGTTCAAAGAGAAAGGCTACTTAGTAAGTATGGTTAGGATTGCAGCTCAGGGTTGCAGTCCTGTCCACAGATGCTATGCTATTTTATAGAATTGCAACCAAGGATAACCTGATACCTGGGAATGTCCCATTGAATGCCATGTGATTACCATATGATGTCCCACTGAATGCCATATGATTGCTTCTGACTATCCTACGAATGTACTTTGTTTCAAAGCATTACTATTGTACGCACCTTCCTGGTTCTCTGAAAGCCACTGCAACAGAATTTCATCTAATGCTAAGCTTTCCCACAAGCGCACCCTCCAAGACCTTCATTTCATCAATGCGTATCCCAGAAAGGAACCAAAAAGCTCCTCACCGCTTCCCCCCACTTCAAGGCGTTGGTCCCCGACTGTTCCTCTCGCCATCTACACTACAAACACAAACCGGTTCCAAAACTAGTTTAGCTAGTCAAGGCTGCTCCCGGGGAACTCTGGGAATGGTAGTTTCGGAGGGGTAACCGAGAGAACGTCTCTGCGAGGGGCAGCAGCTCCCTGAACTACAACCTCCAAGCTTCCCTGCAGGGGAAGCCACGACAGCTAAAACTGGTCCGAGCTTTTTTCTCTTTTTACGTTTTGCGGTGTGTGTGGACGTGCTCAATTCTTCTTCGACTCACTTGCTCGCCTCGACTCGCAACAGCCGTGGCGGAGCCGCTGCAGTCACAACCCACGGAATTTCTTCCCAAGAGAAGCGCATTCAGGATCGGGGACCCTGGAGAGGTTATTTTCCTCGCCACTTGAAAATCCCTACCGAGAGGGGGTAAAGAAGGTACGTCTCTAGGACCTAGGAGGAGTTGGGCAAAGCGTGAGTCATCTTTGACATCTGCTAACCCAGCGTTTCCTCCAGCAGGAAGTGCCGCGCTGGTTGGCTGCCCACGGAAGAATCGCGTGTATGCAGCTTGTTTTTCTCTCTTGATCGCGTGTTCTCACGTGCGGTGACTCTGCGGGGAGTTCTGTCTTTGCAGGCCGCACAGCTGTAACTCTTGTTCCTAATTTTGCCGGTAACCCGCCGGTCGAGGAGAGGGGAGCAGGCAGAAGAGTAAACGGTATGGGGCGATGGAGGGAGCCAGAAATCTAGTCTCTTTTAAGAGCCGATGAGGAAGGGAACCGGATCTGGCGCACACATAAACACTCACGAGTGCCGCTCCGAAAGAAACAGATCTCCGGCACGCTGGGACTCAAGTGGTGATTTGCTGCTGAGGTTCTCTCCCACCAAAATTGCTAGTTTGGGCAAGCTGGGAGTAAAATCTCTTGCGTTGCTTAAACTGCATTGCTAAATGGAATTGGTAGTCGTGCTCAACAGCTGCTTATAGTACAATCCTGTGCATGCCTGCTCAGAAGTAAGTCAACTTGCGCTCATCCAGACTTCGCCCAAGCTAAACGTGTACACAACTGCAATCTTTGGTGCTACTTAATCCTGGAATAAATTCACCCAAGTGGGTTTCCTGAACTGATTTTATCCAGGAGAAGGGGGAAACAGAAGTGATGAGGAAACTAATCATGAGTTCCTGTTCCTATTTTTTGAATTTACTTAAAGAAATTCTTAAATTACTTCCCCTTTCTGACTGACTCTCTGATGACTTTATAGGGCCAGCTTCTATATGCTTACTCAGAAGTAGGCCCTGTTGAGTTCAGTGTAACTTACTCCAGTGTAAGCCTTGCTGCCATCCCACCGGTTCTTCCCTGTATTGTGTGTTCTGATTCGTATTGCTATCACGAGTAGCACTAGATGCTTCTTAAACGAACATTTTAAGAAGCTTCTTAAAAGAGCCTGCTGTGATGTGCATGCATCCATTTCTTTTACTACACTGTGGTGTCTGGTGAAACAGGTTTTGCAAGTTTCTAAGGAAGTACTGCAAGACTTTGCTGGGCTAATTGGTTAGAGATGAGGGTGCACGGCACAGACCACTGCTGCTTCGCCCCCAGCTGCCTGGAACTGATCCTGTTGCCAGCCTGTCGCATTTCCAGCTTTGCTTTTCGTAACGCCTTGTAACCATTGGTGCTTTGGTTATGCCACTGTCCTTAGAGAGGACTTGAAATGATCTGTTACTATTGAGGTGGACTTTCCTCAAATGCTGCATGGAGCAGGCTTCCCCAGCCTGGCGCGTTGGACTACAGCACCCATCTCCAGTCAGCACGACCAGTTGCGATGCTGGCTCAGAGGATGCTGAGAGTTTTAGTCCGGCACTTCTGGTGGTCCAAGATGGGGAAGGCAATGGAGTGCTCTACCTTCCACTCTGAATTCTCCTGTCCCTAAATCTGCTCTTGCTTTTGAACCCGTGCAAACATCCATAAAGCTCTCTGCTTTGAGCCCCCTCCCAATGAGAGATGGGGTCTGAGCAAAGACAAGAATCTTTTCAGAGGCTCGGAGGTGCTGTGCTGGAGCCCTTGTTGCTCAATGTACATGTACCTCCTCTGTCCGTCCGTCCCCCCCCTACCCCCCGCTTTTAGTGATCTCTGTTCAGACAAGCTCTGCGGGTTTTTCTTAGTGCTTTGAAACAGTGCCTGGGGTTAAAACATAACAAAACCAAAAACTGCAAACAACCTGAGCTTTCTGAGCTTGGGGAAGCGAAACAACTCTTGCAGTGCCTCCGTTTTCTGCCTCCCTCGTGCTATGCTGGATTTTTGGTTTGTGGGGCTGGCAGGCAGATGGCACCACTGTTCTGGGTAGGGGAATGGACTGGATGTCCACCTTTGATTTCTTGGGCTTTAGCTTCAGCCCCAACAACACTGGAGGTATGGATAAAGTTGGTGCTTCTGCTGCTTAATTCATTTGAGAACCAGTGTGTTGTGATGGGTAAATGATCCTGCCCTAACCCAGTACCCCCCGGATAGATTCAACTACAACGGCTATTATCCTAGAGTCTGGAGGTGTAGTTCAACCCATCTGGAGGGAACCAGGTCAGGGAAGATTAGCTTAGATGGCTGGACTGGGCGAAGATTAGCTCAGGCTCAGCTCTCTCTTCAGCCATGAAACTCACTGGGTAACTTTGCCCAGTCCAATTGGAGCAGGTTTTTGCAAGGCTGTTGCCTTGAGCTTCTTGGAGGCAGTGCGGGATGTAAATGTAATCAATAACAGCAATTGAATCTGTGATGTTACACATCTACTTGAAAGTCAAAGCGGAGTATGGCGTATTTTCAGGCAGTCTTCCATTCAGGTACCGAGCAGGCCTGCTTAGCTGCAGCAAGATTGTTGAAAGGTATTCTGGAAGGGACCTTGGAGCTCATCCACTCCAAGCCTCTGCTCAAGGCAGGTGCAAGTACAGCGTCTCTGAGAGGGGACTGCCAGGGCTCTACTGACATGGATGGAGAGCCTGCCACTCTCTGAGGCAACTGCACCACTGCTGAACAGCTCTGCTGGACCATCTGCTTCCAACCAGGGCTCCCCTCTGGAGCTGCCATCCCAAGGATGAGGCTAGAGCCCTGGAAGCATCTGGTCATCTGTGGCCTTCCAGATGGTGCCAGACCACAGAAGTCTCTATCCATTGGTCATGATGGCTGGGGCTGATGGGAGGTGGTTCAAAATCATCTAGAGGGCCACAAGTTTTATTTATTTATTTATTAAAACATTTTTATGCCGCCCCATTCGCCGAAGCCTCGGGGCGGCTTACAACAGATCCCACCTCTGCTGTATCTACCTTATGTTGGTCCTTCAGTGGTCTCTCATTGACACAGTGGGTAGGTCTGTAATTGCATAGCTTTAATACTGCTAGGAAGCTGGATGTTGCCAGATAACTCTCAATTTCTCTGCATTTCTGTTTAGGGTTCCTAGAACAAAACTGGGAGGAAACCCCAAACCTTCTGTGTTGCTCTGGATGGTGCGAATTGTTGCAAGAGTAGTGCTGGACTTCACCAGGGAACATTTCAGGGCCTGAGCCAAGGAACTCTGTGCTGGGGCTGTCATCATGCAGAACAACTATGGAACTGTGGCCTTGCTGGGTAAGAACCATGTACCCTGCAGTAATTATGAAGTTTTTTGTTTCTTGGGCACAGGAAGAGCAGCATCTCCTTCTCAAGCATGGCTTTATTTGCCAGCAAAGTTAGTCTTGTCCCTCATTTGTTCACTTCTGCACAGGGTTGCCTGCTGATGAACCAGAGCTTATCTGTAAGATTGAACCAGGGGAAGAGCCATGGATCCCAAATGAGAAAGCTGCTAGAGCGAGGCGAATCCTACCTGGAAGCAAGTCAGGTGAGGAGTCGGTTAAACATGAAAGCAATGGAGGCGGGAGTAGCCATGCTTTCCAAAACATGAAATCGTCACTCTCCTGAGCAGAGGTTGTGGTTCCTTAGCTTGAAGGAAATTTTGCAGCTTGTACATGTTTAAATGTGCTCTTTGCATACGGCAGGCCCGCTTAGTGTTCCACTCCAGCAAAATCTACATATGTCCACCAGTGAGTGCTGAGAAAACTGAGCTGGTCGTGTAGGATCCAGTATAGCTGAATAGGTCCATCTTTCCCTTTTCTCACATTCATCCTTTTTCATTTAGAATTATCTCCCTCTGTTGGATAGCAAATGACATAGATCCTGATCTACCTTCTGTCCACCTCTGCACTAAATGACTTAATATAGTGTTAGATTCTGTTGGTTATGTATAAACTTAAGAGTTATACACTGGGATCCACTGGGATCAGTTATGGGGCAGGTGCACTTCAGAAAGCAAGCAACCAAGCCTGCTTTGGATGGGGATTGTGTCCCATGTGAATCTAACAAGTTTCACTCATTTCAGTGGGTCTGCTTTAATCAGGACATGCTGGAGACAATCCACCCCCCAGGTTGAAGTCCTTGCTTGGGCTTGGCACTTCCCACATTTATTATGACACTGATGCATAATCATTGCAAGGAGATGTAACAGTCCATCCAGTGGGTTAGAAGTGGAGAGCCACCAGCAGTGGCCAGAAATTTAATTCTGTCGCCCAGGAGAATAGCCTCCCCATATACTCTGCCACACAGTCACATATTTGTGGAAGGAGTTGGAGTGTCTTGCTCCCCAAATTGTTCCAGAGTATGTCTTGTGCAGAATTGAAGCCTTGGAGATGGAAGCAGGCGGGAGGGTATGTACAACGTAAGCATTCACCTTCCCATGGCTGCAGTGCTGAAAATGCACACAACGCAAACCCCTATTTGCCTGGCTGCAAATCTGAAAGATTTCATGCAGCCTTCCCCAAACTGATGCTCCCTGGCTGTGTTGGACCTCTCCCCCCAACATCCCCAGCCTTTCTTAAGCAAAGTGGGAAGGAAGCAAGGAAGCAGAGCCTCTGTTCGACAGAAAGAATGGCTGGCCTTGAACCCAGCATAAATTTGTGGACTCCTGGCTAGAGGTTTTGGAGACTGGTGTCCCATGTCTGGATTATTGGCAGGCCGTTCCTGCAGTCTGGCTGATGCCTTGCCTGGAGGTTTGGAAGATGTGATTTTTCTCCAAACAAGGTTAAGATTGATTATTTGTCTGCTGGTTATTTGGTGCAATAATATTCGTGTTCACAGTAATGTATATTCTTGCATAGACTACACCTCTGAATCCCTGGGTTTTAAAAGTCTGCCCTTTTGAAGAAAGGAAGTTTCTTCTGCTTCAGTTTTCCACACGTAACATGTCTTTGGGTGGAAATCTTGCAGATCCGATTCAGTGTTTGTTACCGCTTTGTTGAGCCAGTTGTAGGCCCACCATTTCCAGTTGGCATGGCTGGAGCCACAGTCCAAAAACCATCCGTTCCCCACCCAGGGGTAGTAAAGAGCATGGCCTTGACTGGAGGTCCTCTCCAATCCACTGTGAGTGGTGGGAGCTTTCCCAAATCCCAGGCAGAAGGTTTCCCCAGCTGTGCCTGCCTGTAGCAATCTTATTAAGAGGTGCTGGGAGCTGAGGAAGGGAGCTTTTGCAGGGATGGTGTGGGCTCTGCCACTGATCTGTAGCCCCTGGGAAGACACAGTCATAGAGACTTCCTGGCTTTGTGTATAGAAGGTCCCTGATTCTTTTCCTGCTAAGATTGGGAAAGACCTCAAAAGATCAGACTGTCCCTTGAAGTAGATGATCCTGGGCTTGGCAGATGGGGTGGACTGACTCAGGTTTACACACACACCATTCAGGTGCGAAACCCACTGGGCTAGCCTTGGATCAGACACCTTTGCTCAGCCAATCTACCTGAGAGGGCCGTGGGAAGAGTCGAGAGTGGTAATGCCCCGCACAGCACCCCGAGGTCTTCAGGTGTAGGGCAAGGGGCAACCTGGATAAATGATTTGTCTAGTATTTAAAGCATTAATTTTATTCTGTCTTCCAGCTAAAAAATAGCATCCAGATTAATTAAAAATATAGCCCCTGCCTGCAGGCTCACAGTAAAAGAAAGCAATATAATGCGGGGGGGGGGGGGAAGCAAACTCCAGTGCCAGTTTGTAAATCAACATGTTTATATAACAACCTGCTGGGATGGAAGCAGCTTAGGGAGGCTAATGGAATGCTTAGAACCTCAAGATGTAGTATTAATGTATCTTAAGGCTCATGGGTTAATAAGGCAACATTAGTTTATTGCTCAGCTTTGATTAATTATTTACTACAGGTTCTTTAACAGCAGTTGTCAGTGCTTCTTCCATTCGTCTGTAGGCAAATTACCACCAAAACCTCTTTGGGGCTTCACCTGCAAAACAGCCCAGGTGTCTTTTGCCTTAGACACTTCTCATCAAAACCAGGAGAGAAGTGCTTATAACTCTTCTTCACCCGCTCATCCAGAGACTGCTCTTTTTCTAATTCATCACAAGAATGCACATTCCACCCTTTACGCAAAACAGTTCCCAAGGTAGCTTAGGTTTCAAAGGAGAACAAGCCAAACTGCCCTGATCCTTTGGCTGGTAGCTGAAGCCAGAGGTTACCCTTCCTTTGATTTCTGAAGCCCCAGGGCAGCTGGCGCAGGAGAGCACCCATGGCTCCCACAGAAGGCCTCTCCTGGGCCAGATGGATCCCCAGCATCTCCAGGTGCAGCTGGAAAAATCTCCTACCGCTTGGAGTGGGCAGCTTTGAGCTAAATGGATCCATGAGTCAGGATTCAGTAAAGGCAGCACCCAGTGTTGGGGGGAGGAAAGCAAGCTTCTCTTTGTCAGAGGCAATTCTCTGCTTGCAATTAATCTAGCGTAAAGCACCTTCAGCTACTGTGCCTCTGCCTGATGGCTGGAGCCTGGCGGCAGGCCTCACTTCTGCAGTCCAGTTTTTCCCGGGAAAGAGACAGCCCAAGATCCAAGTGGTCCTTCTCTGCAGCAAGAGGGTATGTGGTCTTCCCCTCACTCGCTTCTCTTGAACCGGGACACTAACTCTGGTCTCTTAACCAAAGGCGAGCGGCTGTGTTTAACTTTAACTTGCTTTAACTTTCCCCTCTCCGTCCCCGCTCCCTCTTGATTCTAGCTCCCGAATCTCCAGATGCTGCAATTACGCCCTACAGGCAGTACCGTGGCACCACGTGGACCTACCCCGAGGTCATCGACCTCCTGGTCATTTGGCGGGAGCGGGAGATCCAGCAGGAGCTCCAGAGAAGGCACCGGAACATCGAAACATTTCAGGTCGTCGCCAGCAAGATGGCCCAGAGAGGCCACAAGCGTTCCGCACTGGAGTGCCGCTCCAAGATCAAGACGCTGAAGAGGGACTACCGGATAGCCAAGGCCAACAACTCTCCCGGAAAAGGGCATCTGGCCTGGCTTTTCTATGACCGGCTCGATCACCTCCTGGCAAACGACACAGACATTCCGCCCCCAGAGAGGCTGCCCACCTTCAGTCACCGTGGGGCCTCCATAGCAGACCCCACACCGCAGGGCTGCACGGAGCAGGAGGAGGCAGCCCTGGCGGAGAGGACCGACGCATGCAGCCCAGCCAGTCGGGAGCTTCTGGCGCTACGGACACAGTCACCTGCTGATGCTTCCGGCCTGGGCAATGGCTTTCCCGTGTCGCATATCAAGGAGGAAGCCCCTGATGAAATGGCAGGGAGCCTCCCAGTGGGTAAGTGGTGCGTTTGGGAGCCTCAGGTGCCCTGGCCAGCCTTTCCTGTGTGGATGCAGCTGGCTTTTTTACGAGGGGCGCATTTTGCCTTTCCTCTGGACAGGGTTCCAAGGCAAGTTCCAGCGAATTAAACCAAGGCAATAATAAAACTGCTCCTTTGTTGCAAAACGTCAGCACATGGTGGCATTTTCAGAATGCCTTTTGCAGTATGGCATTTTGTCCCTGTTAGTTGCATCAGAGTAAAGCTGCCACGATAGTAACATACCCTCGAATGTGCCACAGAAGAGCCAGCAGAGTGTAGCAATTTGACTAGGGGTAGGCAATTTGGTGCTTTGGACTACCGTTCCTATAATCTGAGTACTGGCCATGCCGCATGGCTGTTATGGGAGCTGAAGTCCAACAGATCTGGAAAGCACCGTCCCTCCATTAGAGTGTGGGATTTGGGCTGGGGAGACGCGGTTCAAGGTAACTCATGGGAAAGGAACCATATGTACCCTCTTGAACTACTTGGAGGTGAGGAAGGATATGAATCATGTGAGCCTCTAGTAGGCTGAAACATGTGGAAGGCCACCAGCCCCATCAAGCTTTGCTAGCATAGCTGCTGGAAAAGTACGTGGGGAGGTGTAGACCAGAACATCCGGGAAGCAGATGATTTCTCCTCTCCACTTCGCTGTGCACACTGTGAACACAGAGACTCCTTGTATATGCTGACGGGATTGGAGCTGGCAGGGAGTCGCCGAGAGAGACAGCTTGGGATGGTGGAGTTGGCTCAGCTGGTGAAAAGGCAGAACCAGGTTGCCTACGACTGGATAAAGAGTTAAAAATGAAGCTGCTGAGATCTTACAGTCCTTAAACAAATCCATGGTGCACCCACACTTGGAAGCCCGTGTCAGGTTAGGAAGAGAGATCGCAGAGTCAAGAAGATTGCAGCCCAGGGCAACTAGAATGATTTTGTGGTTGGAGGAACTCCGTGAGGAAAGATTGCAACACCTGGGACTATGTAGCTTAAAGCGGAACTTGATAGAGCCAGACTAAATTTGGCGTGGCGTGGAGAAAGGTGGAATAAAGGCCATTCCTGAAGCTGATGGGTGGGGGATTGAGACAGGTGAAAGGAAGGACTCATTCGCACGACACACGGTTGAATTAGTCCTCCGTTCCAAGGGCCTCCAGGTCAGGTGGCTTTGAAAGGATCGGACACATTCTTGGAGGGAAAGGTTCTGCACAGCTACTTGTCCTGGTGCCCAAATGCCGCTTCCAGCGCCAGAAGCAGCCTGCCCACGGGCACGGGTTGCTGGGGCACCTGGGTGGAAGGGGGCCGTTGCACTGAGGTCCTGCTTGAGGAGTCCTGTGGGAAACGGGTTGGCCAGAGCGTGGACAGGATGCTGCCCCAGGTGGATGCCTGGCGGATCTGCAGGGCTCTTCATGCAGCCGTAACGTGTGGACGCGTGTGGCTTCTCCACGACGGTCACTTTCGCGGATGGTAGCAGGCTGGTGTTGCCATTGGCCCTTGTCCCCATGTATCGTGACGCACTTGCTCTTGTCGAGGGGTATTAAAGACTGCTTTATAGTGATAATGGATCAGGAAGGAAATGTAGCACTTGCCCTGTTCCCAAAGTGTCACCATGGTATGTGTGAGTGTACAACGTTCCTAGTATTAGCATTCAGATAAAGGACTTTGAGATCAGGTGTGTTTTTTACACACACATTTGCATATCACAGGGAATATAAGAGCACAGCATGGATAACATACAAGGAGGCACCTAAAAACAAAGCACATTTTGAAAGATTTTAAAGCTGAATTCTAGGAGCATTTCCTTTCAAGATGAAGGGCACAATCCACCTAGACAGAAAAAGTCCTACAATTTCTTGGCTGGCTTGGCATGCTTGGAGTTGGAGGCCTCTTTTCTCTTTAAACAGGAATAGGATTGTACTTTAAAACATCTTATCCACTGACATTTCTCATCTTGAAACAAAATGGAGTGGAGAAGTAAAGCTGAGACAGATGGTTTGTCTCTCAGGAGGACTAATGTTGCACCCTGTGATAATGGATGATTGGTTCCAAAATCCCTTTAAATATGAGAAACTCACATATTGATATCATTCTTTATCTATTTGCTTAGTTATATTTCCCACAAAATAGAGTTCCTCTAACAATTGGTTTTTATCTTTTCCAGCTTAAGTTCCCAACTTTGGGGTGATACATTTACTTCATTTCCTATCATTGTTTTTGAGAACTTTGACTTAAGTTCCCAAGGTTTCTCTTTTGCAGGTGTACTATTTTAATATTGAAATATGTCTTAACAATATTTATTTATTACAGGATTTCATGTTTGTGCACATCAGCTGTTGTGTGCACAGTAGTCCAATAAACAGCTATGTTTTCCCCAACTTTTTAAACTGATGTACTTGTTACTGCTTTCCTGAATTCAGCTGGGAAAATTTAATCTTTCCCATAACAGTCTCCTAGGTTAATTAAAGATTCAGTCAAAATCTGAATGCTTCTGTTTCAATCAAACTGATGGAAATTTAATGCAGGAATTTCTTGGAATATATCTTAATATTCCTTTTGCTTCTTTATAAGAATTGCAGCTTATAAGAGTTACCACTTAAGAGAAAAATGTGGGGGATGAAATAATCCTTAATTTTGTGTAAGTATTTGCAAAGGGGCCTGTGGTGCAGGTTAGTACAGGAGTCATGCGAGACACACCACATGCTGTGTCATCTATTTTTGCTGTGGCTGGAGAGACCCAGTGTGATGTAGTGGTTAAAAGCGCAGGTCTGGGACTCAGGCGATCTGGGTTCTAGTCCCCAGTCAGCTATGGAGGCAACTGGGTGACTTTGGGCCAGTTGTGGTCTCTCACCCAAAACTACCTCACAGGGTTGTTGTGAGGATAAGACTGAGAAGAGGAGAAGGAGAATTATGTAAGCAACCTTGGGTTCCTTGGAAGGAAAAAAGAAGGGACATAAATATAATTAATAAATATGTTGTAATTCAAACTGCTGCACTCCAGAAAACTTCTCCGGCATGGAGGATAAAACATGGACGCACCTCCGGAGTAATACAGTGAGCATCATTCTGAATCTGACAAGCTCTGGATTTCTTGACTGTGTGTCTCCCTTTTCAGAAGTCTGCAGTCCGGCTCCCCCACCGCCACCTATTTCCTGCGATAAACCAGGCAGCTCTGCCTCCACAGTGGGTAAGATCATGGCCGTTCCTGCGTGTTAAGGCACGATGTCTCTTGCTCAGGCTCGTAAATAGATCGCTGGGGACAAATAACAGTCCCTTCCCGAAGCTGCATATTTGTGGTCTTGTGACAGAAAGGGAATGTTTAAAAGGCCTTTGCCACACCTGAGAAGTTTACAGTAAGGTGGGGTGGGAGGATAACTTTGGGAATAAGTCCAGGGCACTTAGTAGCTCACAGTAATCTTTATTTGCTCACCTGCCTACACCAAACTAGTCATTTATGGTCCAACTGAAGGGAAAAGACTAGCTTGTGTAAAATCTTTGTTCCTGGGTTATGGGGGGGTGTTTCTTTCTTTCCACAAACGACCACATGGGTGGCTACAGACAAGCCTGCTGACAAGGGGTGGATATGAGCCGATGTCCATACATGATGCTATGGCTCGGTTCAGACAATCGGGCAACACCATGGTTGAGATAGCTTTGCTGGGTCTGGTGTGATGCCAGATCCGACCCCCATCTGCCCGGCAGTGCCACTGCTGCTCTGCCCTGAGCATTGGTTGGGTCAGGTGACCTCCTTGCAGCTCTCCAAAGAGAGGAAATCATAGTTCGCTATGTTTTCTATATAATTAAATATTGTCTTATTTCATTCTTGAAATGCTACACTGTTTTTCTATCATTTGTATTTATTTCGAATATTGCTGTTTCACTTTTGAGGTGAACTTCAAAACACTTCCCAAAAGCGATCCTTCCATTTAAAGATTAATTAACATAATATGCACCCAGAAAAAAATAGAATAAAATAGTGGAAGAAAGAAGAGCAGAAGAGAAGAGAGAACCCCATAAAATGTATCAAGCAAGGCTAAAACATGCTGAGGTCTGAGCAAATAAGTCTTTACTTGGCACTAACATGAGGGGAAAGATGATTGCTGGAGGGAAACAATTTCAGAGATAGGCGCTTCCCTGGGTCTCAGTTCAGGAGGCAGGACAAGATGGCCTCTGACACAGGAATCTGGGTACAGGCAGTCCCTGGGTTACAAACAAGTGCCATTCATGAGAAAATGGAAATTCATCATTAAGTCAAATTTGTATGTAGGTCGAGCCGGCCCTCCACATTCATGGGGTGCAGGACCCCCATGAAGGTGGAAAAACCACAAATATCACTAGTGCCCCCCCTCCCAACTCACCAGTGCTTCCTCTTTATGGCAAGGGAATGCTGGAGAGATTTCCTTCTCCTGAAGGTTGGGGCAGGAAGGCCCTTTCTAGCCTTTTGTTTTCCTTCTCCATGGTGATGCTTTGGAGGCTCTCCCTCTCTCCCTTTTCACTTCCTCTCTCTCTATGGTGATTATGATTTGCTGCAGCAATTTTAAAAAATGAATAGGCTTTATGGCAGTTTGTAAGTATGGGTTGCTTGTAACTCAGCTATTTGTAACTGGAGGACTGCCGGTGCTAGGGTAGGTCCATATGGGAGAAGCTGGTCCTGGAAGTGACTCTGCTCTCATGCGCCTTAAGGCTTTAAAGCAGTCTTCTAACTAAGCCCGTAAAAGCTGTTAGCTTGCAAATCGTTTTGCTAGCCTGCTGGGGGCTGGCAGAAGAGGGTCAGAGTGTGCCCACTGCATCCCCACACTGGACACAGTGGAGGCGCGACAGAAAGCAGCCTGTCTCTCCTCTGCCAACTCATTCCCTTGCGTGGATTCCCTGGCACTGGCAGCTGTCCGGAAAATGCTTCAAGGCTGCATGGAAGGTTGAATTCAGTACCTTGACCCACCCGCAGTAGCAACCTGCCACAGTTAAGTTCAGCTTACCAAATTAGGTCCATCAAAAAAGCTGGCAAAATGTGAAACTTCCCAAAAAATTTAAGTATTCTAGAAGCAGCAGTAGATGGCCAGTTCAGTTAATTATCTAATTTCCCCAAGTGGTTCAGAGCATTCAGAAAAACTAATGGCTTTTGCTCCACCTTTGCCACGGTTCTGCTGAGCAGATGGAGAAGCAGCAGGTGAGCTACTCTAATTCCTGCTTTGCCTGTTTGGAAACTCAAACCCAGACCATGGTTTGCTGCGACATCTGGACTGAGTGCTACTTACACTTCAACAAGCACTGTGCTGGCTTGGACAACTGCCCAGAGCAATCCTAACTAAGCATGTTTACACAGAAGCAAACCCTTTGAGGTCAGTGTGCTGAATTAAGGGTTGTAAACTTAATCTTGTTTTTGCCCCCTCTCTTTCAGATGGGGCTGCAACCCCCTCCCCAAACCCCTTGCCTGATCCTGCACGGTCTTACGCAGCTGAGCGCCTGGCCAACATCCGGAAGCGGAAAAGGAAAAACCGGCAGGACGTGGCCCTTGAAATCACTCAGGCAGCCGACAAGAGAGTCCAAGCGGCTACTGACAGGATCTTGGCGGCTCTTGGGGAGTACGTAAAGGCCGATCTGGAAGACCGTGAGCGGGACCGGCTGGACACTGAGCAGATCATTGCCCTCATGAACCGCCAGACAGAACTGCTGGAGTCGCTCGTGCGAAAGCAGACTGAGATCCAGGCCCCCGTGTCTCCAGCACTGACCCGGCACGCCCGGCTTCCGCGGCTTGGGCAGCCCAGCCATTCGGCAGAGCCGTCCCCCTTGCGCTTGGGGGTCCCCAGGCGCTGTGTTGCCAGGGCCCGGTACAGGAGGTGACTCCGGAGCTGTGCAGCTTCAACTGGGAATGGAGGGCCGAGGGATTGTCGGTAGCTGGCTTAGCACGCAGGACATCGTGGGATTGTTTGTAACGGGTTGTGGCTTTATTTTTCAGGAATTTAACATCCTTTTTACAAGAAATGATTGTATTTGCTCAGTTGTACAAAACGGAGGAGAAAAAATTAAAGGAGGAATGTTTTTTTGCATTATGGATCTGGTCAGTGACGATGAAGTATTGGATGTGGGCGCCACATTATGCAAGAGGGAGGGCTCCCTGGTGGAGGTCCTTCCACCTGATTTTGGGGGGTTCCCAGTTCCTACACAGCCCCCGCCCCCCATGCAAGCAGAGTTTCCCAAATACCTGGGTAGCATTTTCAGGGGGCTGCAAGTGCTGTTCCAGGAAGGAGGAGGGGCGGAAAGACCACCTCCACTGGTCTGAATGGCCCAGCTTAAATCCGGATCCACATATGGGAAGCCCTGTGATGCATTTGGAACCATCTTGGAGCAGAAGGGCTGCCACCGTCAGCGCTGCTGCTGCTTCTAGGCCTGGGACTAATAACCACAAGGGCAGGACCAAACAGGCTGGTGTGAACCCCTGAGCTGGCACTGGCTTGCTGGCGTCCATCAGGGCTAATGCTGCCCATTGTGCAAGGCTTCCTCTGAAAAAAAAAATCTCTGGGGGTGATTAGTGTGTATTTTTACTTTAAATACCATATAGATCAGTGTATAAGGTGACTTGTGTATAGTATGAGGTCAATATTTTGGGCTGTTTTTCTGGTGTGTCATATGTCGGGTGTATAAGATGACCCCCAGTTTTTGCTTTGCTACTTTTGGTTTCAAGGGTTGTCTTATACATCAATATATATGGTATGTATTACTTCTTTCTGCAACAAAATGGTGCTTACTTCCTAATATGTTTAGCTTTAGGGCAGCAGAAGCAAACAGTGTTACATTCCTGTAGTCAATATGGTTTATTTGTAATATTTATATCCCAGGAACTCAAGGCAGCTTACCTCATTCTCCTCCTCCTCTCAATCTTATCCTCACAACAACATCCCTGTGAGGCAGGTTGGGCTGAGAGGCTGCAACTGGCCCAGTCACCCAGTCACCTCCATGGCTGAGCAGGGACCAGAACCCCGATTGCCTGAGTCCCAGTCCTGCACTCTTAACTACACCATGAATTAAATAAATACATCATCTAAATGAATTATGTATTTATTTTCACTCTCAGCTTAAGCTACCCCACAACAACCCTGAAGGGTAGATTAGGTTGAGTGTCTGTGGCTGGCCCAGAGTCACTGAATGGGACTAGAACCTGGATTTCCTAAGTTCCAGTCCAACACTCTAACCACTAAGACACAGCAGCTCTCAAATGTAATATGTACACTGTCCAGAGCTTTCCTGTCTGTCTGTCTCAGTGGGTTGGCGAGCAGGATGTTTCACAACCATCTTTGCTTGAGATTCACATGCCGCCTGCTCTCAGTTGTTGACCCTCAAGACAACTACACTAAACTTGAAAGTCTCCTCTGACTTACTCATGGATCTTTCCACAGCAGAGTTGCTAGGATGAGACTGAAATGGTGCAGAACAGATGTGGGCAACCCCTGGCCCAATTCCAAAAGCCTCTGGCAAGAGTTTGACATCCCTCTCCTGGCAGGCTGTTGGGCAGGGAGAGGGCAGTCGTAAAGGAAGGCTTCCGACACATTATCCCCAGGGGATGTGGTCCTGGACAGAGAACAAATTCCTACCCATGTTGGAGCTGAAGAGGCAAAAGCCTGATCAGTCCAGAACTGTGTTTCCAGACTGGCCAGCCAGAGGCCTCTTGGGGGCACACACAGGCCTGAGTGCAAGCACCCCCTGCTCGTGTTCCTAGCTAGTGAAGTACATTCATAATGACCTGAATACTGGCCAGAGCATAGGCCCATCAGGACTGGTGGCCACTGATCGCCTGCCTTCTCCAGGAATTTTATTTGCCCTTTTTAAAGCCACCCACACTGGTGGCGATCACTGCTTTCTGTGGCAGCATGGAAGAGTTTCCTCTCTGTCCTGAATCTCTCACCTGTTGGCTTCCTAAAAGGACTTTCTGCTCTAATAGAAAGGGGAGAAAATGCCTCCCTATCTACTTTCTTCACACCGAGCATATTTTTATACTTATCACATCCACCTTGCACTTATTCTAAATTAAAAATCCCCAGATGTTGTAACCTTTCTTCACAGGAGAGCTATTCCAGTCCCTTGATCATCCAGGTTTCCCTTTTGAGCTCCTTCTCCTGCTTTAAAATCACATTTTGAGGTATGACGACCAGAACTGTACACATTCTTCCAAGTGGGTTGTTCCATAGCTTTGCATGAGGGCACTACCAGTGCGGTTGCTCTATTTTCTTTTCTAATTATACCCAACCTGAACTGGCAGAAAAGTCTGAGAGCAATGACTGTAATGATAGAAGCAGAGAGAGAAGGACAGGCACATGGCGGGCATGTCGTGAGCAGAGCTGGGGGTCAGACTAGATGGCCCGGGAGACCCCTTCTGACTAGCTCTGTTTCTATGAGGTAAACACCCCTGCTAGAATGTGTTGAAATGCAGTTTGCAAAACAGGAATCTGAGCTGGGAAGGCTGCGTGCATAGGCCGAGTGAATGGCCATGCTGCTTAGTGGGGATTAAGACACCTTTTCCTAGGTGGGAATGTCTGGAGGAGCGTTGCCTCTTTCTAGGCCACTGTTCTGCAAAGGACTAACCTAACAGCATGTAGAGACAAGAACCTTGGTAAAATATCAGTATGGGGTCGTAATGCCTGCTCTTTTATGGGCTAGGCTTGGCCCTTGGACAAAGCACATTATTCCAAAATAACATCGCTGAAGAACCTAAATAGAATCATTTGGGAAGGGCTGAGGGTGTAGGAAGAGCGTAAGAAAGTAAGATGTGCCGTTAAGCTGCAACCAACAATATAAACCATAGGTGTCCTCTTGAACATTCATCTAGTCCATATTGTATACAACTAATTAATATTAATTCTGTACAACTTGTATAATATTGATACAAGCTTAAACTTCTTGCACAGTACAGGAAGCGTCAGAAATTCCGTGTGTTCCAAAGATAATTTAGGAAAGTTTCAAAATTTTAGATAAGTTTGAATTTTATCACTTGGAGGATTCCTTGGATTAATACTTCTTTGAAAAAGAACACAAAACTGTTAATCACCTCATCTTTCCTTTGTGTAAATCTCTGGAGTTCTGATAAATATATTGGAGGTATTATTCTTTTAGACTGTTCTTCATCCAACTTAAAAGATCCTAACTTGCCTGCCTTACTACACTTTTCAAAATATTTTTGTTTGAGGCTTAGAGATCTCTCAACTTCAAAAATCTTTTATTTCTAACCATTTTGTGTAGTACTTAATATCCTCCAACAACTTAAATGCCTGTATTTTTAAGCAAGGATAGTCTGGTGTCCTGTTTCTATCCTGCTGGCTCTGAGAAGCCTCTGAAACTTTTGCTGGTGGTTCCACTGAACTACTGCAGCTCCACCCACAGATGAGGCCTTTGGACAGACCTTTGGCCCATGCAGGTGTCTCCTCCCGTCTCGAACCTGTCAAGCCGTGACCATCTCCACATCTTATATGGCAGCAGATTCTATTCATTAATTAAGCATTTCTATAAAGTGATTTCTGCCTGCCCTGAAGTTAGTGCCACTCAATGTCACTGCATGGGAGTCCTCACTCAGAATGGAGCCTTTCCCATCGTCATGGTACAGCTGGTTTTATTCCTTGTGACAGTCCTGTGATCCTCCAGTGGCACAGAGTACTACTCAAAACTTTGTCTTCCTGCCTTCCGCCCTACAAAAAGCACCAAGCCCCAATAGATGCAAGACAAACATTTATTCTGAGCTGTTTCCAGTGGCATGGTAAAAATCAAGCCTATGTGGTGAGCCTATATGTACAAAATGGATTAGTTTCTTTTAAATGAAGTGGCTTCTTCTTATACCACTGTTCATGCACTGAATTATTTGAGAGTAGCTTTAAGGCCCATTCTGGGAACTGCATGTAATAGGTTTAAATGAGGCAACTGCATGAAATGCCCTCCAGCCATTGGCTGAGCTCCTAAAAAGTCATGGATTGTCAGCAAGTGTTCTGACTGGAATGGGAAGCGGCAGTAGCATAATGTTAATAAGGAGCTGCAAAGGATTGAAGCTTAGGTTGAATGGGAGAAGATCTTCATGTGTACTGATGAGAAGATGGGTGCAGCTGGTAGGACTGGGGGGTGTGGAAGAGGGCCGAGGGGGCAGGGATGAAAGATGGGGCTGAAAATTATCTCTGAAATGAGCCTTAGGAAAGGGGGGGGGGGGGGGTTGAACAAGGATGTAGTGGTGAGGGATGGATAAATAAATACAATGGACAAGATTCAAGCCTACAGGGACCCAAAGGGGGAACTGCGTGACAGCATCACAGGTTCCCAGCTTGCAGCTGGAGTGACCTACTTGTCACTGGATGATAAAACCATGATGGTCAGTGTCATCCTTTCCATAAGAAGAGAAGGCAGACGTTGGGAGCGTTGTGGGACTAGTCCACCTGCCTCTATTTGTGGGAAACTGCTCAGTCCCCAGAATAGCAGAGACAGACACCTTTTGAGACTGGCCTGAGGGAATAAGCTGTTTTTGTTTCCGGGAGGTGCATGAACCAGCTGCTCCTACTTCACAGCAGCTGCTGCCTGAGAACACAAGGCCGCTGCAAGTGGAGGGAAGTGGGATTTTTATGTCAGCCTTCCTTGGTCTGCTGCTGGGCTAGATGTGTTGGGTTGGGCCTCTCCCATCATAACCGGGCCAGCATGACCAATGTTAGCTTTCCATTGTTGGTGTATGCATATAGTTTAGCAGCCCATACTCTTCTTATAATCCAAATATGCTCTTGGCCTTCTTTATAGTCTGAAAAGCTAGAATGCATCCTAATACAATAAATATGCAGAAAAACCATCCCCGACCCATTCCTAGGTCGGTCCAGATTTGTACATTTACTCACTTTCAAGAATTTAACTACCAGGCTTCCCAGTTATACATGCTGGGAATACATGCAGCTCACTGCAGACAAGCTTCAATAACATCCCACTTTTCACTGAAACATTTCATAGGAGCCCAGTATGAAGACGCTTCTGCAGAATTAGTCACAGATGTAAACTGAGCAAAAGGTAGGCAGCACAAGTTGTGTGTTAGCTGCACAACTCAGTCCTCAAACGAAAGAGCCAGGAGGTTGCCACCTTTGCCCAAGGTAGTTGCCTCATTCTGTCTAAAGGCAGGGCTGGCTTTGTTCGTGACATAAATGAAGCGAGAAGGTAGCACAGGCAGTAGGGGCCGGATCCTGACTAACTACGCAATCCTATACAAGTCAGAAGTTTGAAATGTATATTGTTTGAATTCAGTGGGGCTCACTCCCCAGGTAAATGTGTCTAGAATTTGCAGCCTAAGCTAACTTAACTCGATTGCCAGTGAAAGTGTCAGGGCCTGTAAGGCCCAGACCAAAGAGGTGGTGCAGAAGAAGAGGCTGCGACGCTGCGGCCGCCCCTTCACTCCCCGGCTGCCTGGCAAGCCAACAAGCCGCGGCCCCGAGCAGCAAGAGTAGCCGGTGGCAGCGGCGGCGAGGCAGGAGCCTCTCCGAGGGAACGGGCGCGTCGGGGATTCCTTGCCCCGCATCCCCAGCGAGGCGCAAAGGCAGCGCTGCCTCGTCGCGGCCCAAGAACAGCGCGTTGGTGCGGGACCGTGAGAGAGGCGGGCGCAGGTGAACGTGAGGCGCATGCCTTTAGGACCCGAGGGAGCTGACACGTGGGGATCTGCGGCTCGGCCTCAGCAGGAAGAGGAGCGGCCGCTGGCTGCGGGCGGCTCGCTGGTCCGCCTTCGCCCAGCCCAAGCCAGACCTTGCGCGGGCGACGGCAGGCCCCGTTCGGCCTCTGGTTGCAGCCCCAGCAGGGCCGCCGGCGCAGGAGCAAGGAGGGCGGAGGATCGAGGGTCTCCCCGGGTCCGCTCGTGCAGGCGACCGGGCGGCTCCCGGGGGGCACCGGCGATGGCGGCCCCCCCGGCTGCGAGTGCAGGGTGTCGAAGGGACGCGCGCCGCCACGGCCAGACGAGGCTGCCTCCACTGTGGGTGGAGCCGCGAAAAAGAGCCGTTTTGCTTTTCCTACTCTGTTCGTTTAAATCTCCGCATTTTCTCGAGGAACGTGTATGACATGTGAAGGGGCCTTCGTACGAGTCGAATCATTGGCCCACCTGCCCCGGTATTGTCTGGACTGGAAGCCTAAACCAGAGGTGGGGAACGGATGGTACTCCAGAAGTTGTTAGGACTGCAACTCCCATCCTCCTCCACTATTGGCTATGCTGGCTAGGGCTGATGGGAAGTTTTTAGATTTGGTTTTGCATTTCTAGCTGAGATGCTCTGTATTCACATGTTTTAACCAGATATTTTCTATTTAAAACTTCTTTGTTGCAAATTATTTTGAGGTGTCTTTTCTATACAATCAAGCATTCTATAAATTGATTAAATAAATACTAACAAATAGTTGTGCAGAGGAGGGGATTTCAGGAGTAGCAGGGGCAACAAGCCGACCGTTGGGCTTCAGCTCCCATCCTTGCTTTAGCTGTGCTGACTAGGGCTTCTGGGAGATGAAGTCCAATCTAAAGTATCTGGCGATCTGCTTTCTGCCCACCTCTACACCACACAACTGTTAAACTGGTCTTTTAAAACCTCTGGCTATCCTACACATACAGCAAATGTGCAGAGAGATTCTGACTATACTTTTGACCATGGGGAGAAAGAGAGAAGTCTTATGGTTGTTTCAGAGCATTTCAAAACGTTTGGAAACTTTTCATTTTGAGTGCAAAGCTACAATCCTTCAGAAATGAACATCTCCAGAATTCTCCTGCACGGCTCATGTTTGCATGCTTACAACCTTCCTGTACCTTCTTACAAAGTTTGAGCCATAAATCTCATTGCAATCTGTCACTCCTCCCCTTTGTTTTGGCTTTTCTCTGTTGGTTAGGATTTCTTGTCTTCTGACCTGAGATCAGATACAGAATGGAGAAAGAAGGATGCAAGCTGGATCCCCAGAACTCTGGGGAAGGGCAGATCCCAAAAGACACCAGCTTAGGTAAGGAACTGGGTGGCGTCTATAATCAAGAACATTTTAACAGCAACCATGTAAATAATGGCTTTGATTTTTGTCAGGGGGGAGGTGGGTTAACTAACCCCATGTTAGGGACTTTCTTTCTGGTGCACTGGATCTTCAGCTGTATCTAAAGTGTTTAATCCTCTGGCTCAAACTAGGCCAAATTGCACAAGAAAGTTGCATATTTCACAAGAGAGGAGAATATCACTGGATGTGTCGCTGTTTGAAAGCATTTTAGACTAAAAATAGGAAAATATGAGCAATCCGTTTGCAGTAGCCTTGAGTTTGCATTGCTAGTGCGTGTGTCCAGCAGTCATGGGGCATTCTTCAGGAACTGAGCCCTGCAGGTGCAGCATCTCAAAGAGCCCCAGTACCTGGCATGGGAGAGGGATGCTGCTGAGCAGTTCCATGGGCCTTGGCAGGAATGGAGCCCTGCACAGCTGTGAGCAGCATCCCCTTCTGCACCACATCCAGCCACCTTTTCAGCTGCTGACTTGACACGGAAAAAGGTTGGCCGCATGGAACTCGCCAGAACTGAAGCCCACCTGCCTGCAGACAGTGTCCCTCTTCTGTGCCGCTTGCAGTGGCTTGACACAGAAGAAGGCTGCCAGTTATTTCTGCGAGTGTTCGTGGACTTCTTGGCTGGACTCACTTTGCAAGACTAGGCTAAGCACAAGAGGAAGTCCGTGAATACTAGAGGAATGGATTCGGCTAGGTTTTTTTTCCAACCCTAACTAAAAGACGTGTGCTTTGGTGCAGCGGGAGAGGATTTGAAGGATTTTGAGGTTGTCAGGCTTAGGAATGAGCATCAGCTGGATTGAACGACCTTCACAGCCCCTGTCAGCTCTGCAGTTCTCTGGCCGCTGTGGACTCTGCGCGTGTGCAAACGCGTAAGACAGCAGGAAGCATGGCTGCTCCTGCTTTCTTCCCAGGCTTTCAGTGGCATCCCAGCCTATCTCCGAACTGTGGAAACGGTAGCAGTGCCGTGCGGGAGGTTTTGCCTTAGCTTTGAGCGAGGGAGGGCACCACCCAACGTGGCTGCCTGGAACCCTCCAAACTTGGAAGTGTAGGACTTTTTGCTGGCCAAACATGCATAGGATTGTGCCCGAATTGGCATTTCTTGGTCTGACTCCTCATCTTTACTTATAACTAGAAAAACACCCGGAGGAATCACCCGTGGCAGCTTTTCCTGGGTGGTAGCATTGCATACCAGAAGCAGGGAATCAAATGTGTGAATGTTCCTGATATTTTTTCTAAACTTTCTGAAGTTTCAAAAGCTAACCTGGTGTATTTCCATTACTGCTAGTCCTGAATGTTAAAAACAAAACTCTCCTTGTACCTGAGCGGTATTCACACACTGGTTTTCCTTTCCTCTCATTTGGAAGTGGCACCACTCAGATGCCACTTGTGTGTTTTGCTTCCCAAAGAATCCACAATTCTATGTTCACACTGTTCAATAATGGAATTTGATATCTGGAGTAGGTCTTGCATCTTGTAACTTAACAACAACACTACACTTCAAGCCTGAATGGCTGTACCGGTAAAGGTACTTCCAGAAGCTATCCAGGGTAGACAGAGAATTATGCCCACTGGGGGAGGATATCAGTGTCCTGCACATAATTTATATAAGAGATAAATAAGATGACCTTTTCTTCTGAACCAGGCAGTAAAAGCTGATGAGATTGTTCAAGGGCAATAAAAGCAAGCCTAGGCCAACATGTGCAAATGCAGAAAGGAAGGGCGGTAGCTCAGAGGCGGAGAAGCTGCTTTGCATGGAGGAGGTCCCATGTTCAGGTCTCTGGCACCCCCACGTAAAAGGATCAGAGAACAGGCGATGGAAAGAGTTGGGGCCCTGGAGAGCCGTGAAGTAGTTACTGAGCCAGATGGACAAATCGTCCGGCCTCTGCAGCTCCTTGTGCTCCTGAAAGCGCTCTCCTTTCTTTTCTCTTCCTCAGGGGTGCCACTTGCTGAGGACCAAGTGGCTTCTGCTGCCATCACTGTGGCTACCGCTGCGGTGGCTGCCATTAAGACCGTCACAGGGATCCAGTCGCGCATTTTCACAAGGCTGGCGACCCGGCGGAGGTTTCAGCGACGAGACCACGATGACCTGGACGCGCTCGAGCAGATGGTGGAGAACGCAGCGGCCGTGCGCCTCCGGGCCGTCGTGGAGTCCAGCATAGACTCCCTGAGGACCATGATGTGCTCCTGCCTCTTCCAGTCCCCGGCGGTCCTCGCTGGGCTCATAGATGAGCTTTACATCATGGAACGCGCGTTCTGGGTGCAACCGGGGCGCTCGGAATGGTGGGAGAAGGTCGTCCTGCCGCACTGGGATGACCCGCTCTGGCGAGAGAATTTCAGGATGAGCCGGCAGACCTTCATGGAGCTGTGCGACATGCTGAGGCCTGTCCTGGAGCGGCAGACCACCAACATGAGAGCCCCAATTACGGTTGAGAAGCAGCTGGCCATCGCCGTCTGGAAGCTGGCCACCCCGGACAGCTACCGCTCCGTGGCGGAGTGCTTCGGCGTTGGACGGTCCACGGTTTCGAGGATCGTGATAGAGGTTTGCCAGGCACTCTACGACGTGTACCACCACGTGGTGCACCTCACCAGTCCCCAGGGGGCGATGAACGGCTTCGCAGCCAAGGGCTTTCCCCACTGCATCGGGGCCATCGACGCCATGCACATCCCCATCATCGCCCCCGCCCACAGAGCAACGGAGTACATCAACAGCAAGGGCTATTACTCGATGGTCCTGCAGGCACTGGTGGACCACGAAGGCAGGTTCACGGATGTGTACGCCGGGCGGTCCGGGAAGGTCCACGACGCCAGGATCTTCCGCAGCTCCCCCATCTTCCGTGCCATGAATCAAGGCACATTTGGCCCCAGCACAGTCCTGGACATGGAGGGGGAGCAAGTGAAACCGGTGATCCTTGGGGATCTCGCCTATCCTCTCCTGCCCTGGCTAATGACTCCCTACAGCGGCCACCTGGACACCCGCAAGCAGCTGTTCAACGACACCCTGGGCCGCTGCCGAGCCGTGGTGGAGTACGCTTTCGAGCGCCTCCGGGGCCGCTGGCGGTGCCTGCTCTCCCGTCTGGACGTGCGGGAACGCTACGCCCCCAGAGTCATCGTGGCTTGCTGCATCTTGCACAACATCTGCGAGGCCAAGGGGGAGCCCCTCCAGGAAGGGTGGGAGGAGGTGGTGAGATCCGTCGCAAGGTCTTATCAACAGCCCGAGCGCCAGCCCGTGTATGTGTCAAACCCCCGTGCCCGGGAGATCAGGGATCTTTTCAGCACATACATGGAAAGGAGAGCACGGGAAAAGCAAAGCTGAATCCTCCTTTCCTCCCAAAATTGACATTTTTGGCAGGTTCTGGGAAGAAGATCTGCCACATTTCTCACATCTCACATTTCACATAATTTGGACAGGGCACTTTGTAGTCTAGTCTCTTCCCTGCACAAGCTGGAGTAAAATTTCAAGTAACCGAGGAGGGGGAAACTCGTGGTGCTCTTGATGTTTTGCCTTTCAGCTCCCGTCAGCCTAGCCAGCATGGCCCATGGTGAAGGATGATGTGCATTTTAGACCAAAAATCTGGGGGCCATGAGTTGTGCGCCCTTGGCATGCCCCGTCTCCTGCTCCTTCTGTCTGGAGAATCGTTGCAGCGCTTGTGTTCATCCTTCCACACTGTGGCTGGTGGCTCCACAAGCGGCCACTGCTCCAGGTTGAAGAGTCTCATGGCAAGGTGTGCTCTGAAGAACCCCTTCCGGGGCTGCTGGGCTTAAATGGTGGCCAAGGGCAATGGAACCAGCATCGATGCTGGAAGCTACCCGTTCCTTTCCCACTATTAGGCGGATGGCAAATTGAGGATGTGATTTCTCCATCCACTGGGACAACAGCAACCACAAAAGAACATGGGTCGGGAGTGAGTTACTTTAAGTGGTGCTACAAAATCCGAAAACTGGAAAATTGGAATTAATGTTATTTTAACATTACAGTATTTTAATTGTGTCTAACACACTCCCTTCACACTTGTTTGATGTGTCTTTGTGAGGAAGGGTGCTAGAAATAAGATTCAGTTCATGTTGGTTCAGGATCAAATTCTGTAATAAACTGTGGCTCGAACCTGGATGTTTGTTCTTTCTTCTTAACTCTTAATCATTACCCCAGGATGCACAAATTAGTAAAAAAGGAGCTAGAATAAATGAAGGTTTAACCAAAGATTACTTGGGGTTTTTGGAAGAAACTGGGACATGATTATGTTTTACAGAATTGCAATTATCTAAAACAAGGCCTTTGCCTTTAAAATACTGGAATTTCTAGCCAAAATGCTTACTTTAAAGCAGAACATGTGATATTTCAATGACTCCTAGGAGGCAGCAACTACTGTCATTCCTTGTCATGCTGGCTGGGGCTGATGGGAGTTGCAGTCCAACATCATCTGTGAGTCCCCCCCTTTTTGCAGCCCTGCATGAAGTCACAAACTGGAGACAGCAAGTAGAACGATGATACATTGCTGCTGGATCACAAAAGATAAGATGCCCATCTTCCCACTGGTCCCATTTTGGGCATCATGTAGTTACTGATTAAATTTCAGTTATTAAAACTTTTATGATTCTTTTTACAAGATGGAATTGCTAGCTTTTTCTTCTCGACTGAGGCTCTACTAATAAAAGCTGTAAATGGTCTGGTTTTCTTTAGCATAGTGATGCAGATAGTAAAAAGCCACACCTGTTGAACTTCTATTAGACATGCAGCTACTAATAGGTGAGTCAATGGGGGAAAGGTCATTTCCGACACAAAATGCAATTTCATACCTACTGCCACTCACATGGCAGAATTGGACCCAGCAGGTGTTTGGGGAGGGTCACGGGAGTCCTCAGACAGTCCCGGCGGTGGGCTGGCCTGTGCGAGTTGCCCGAGAGGCCGCCGAGTCTGTTCTGCGTAGGAGGCCACGTGCTGCTCTGCACGGAGGGTGTCGAGTCCAACGCTCACGAGGGTCACGCAGCTGCTACGGTGGAGGACGCTGCCAGCATGTCCAGGGGAGGATAGGGTTGCTCTCGCACAAGCTTACAGCACCCGCTGGATGTCTTGGAGCACAAGGCTCATCATCCCCAGAGAACATGGATGATGGGAGTTCCCCCAGCATACTTGAAGGGCAGTAGACTGGGGAAGGCCTACATAGTAAATCCTGGCTTGAAGGGTCATTGCTCAGTTGTGTGGGCTTTTGCTTGCTTGATGCTCCTACCTAAATGTAGGTATGTGATGACCCTTTTAGGAAGGGCGGGGGGTGGTGTGGCAACAGCTTTTTTCCTTGCGAAGATTGGCAGCGGTTCCTAGGATTTCAGAGGAGGATGTCTTTAACGCCCCTGCTTTGGTCCTTTTTAACACAGGGGTGGGAAGTCTCTGGTTTGGGGGCTTCATCTGTCCTTGGGATCTCAAGGCAGCTCCCAGGTTTTCTCCAGGTTGCTCTGCCCCATGTCCCACAACTTCCAGTGGGTTGATGGTTCTCCAGCTTTCAAATCTGGTGGGCCTTCCCCTGTACTAGAGCACTGAAAAGCCTTTCCTGAGGCTTAGTTACAGGCCTAGGAGCATTAAACTGCGATTGGTTGCAATATCTGGTGCTTTTGCCTCCGGCCTTGCTCCTCTTGCAAGTTGCACCCCAAATTGGAATGTAGTCCCCCCAAGAGGCCTGCACACCGTTTTAATGGGAGAGGCCAACGCTTGTATCAAGGAGGTCCTTCTGTGTACAAAGGCTCTGAGCTGTGACCCCTTCCCAAAAGCAGAGGGCCCCTTGCATCAGCTTTAAAAGTAAACATCTAAGTATTTTGGGAAGCCCACTCTCGGTTCTTTACTTGTATAGCTTAGGACTCCGCAACTAGAGGGGATTTCTTTCCCAAGCTAGCTTATTAGGGTTGCCAATATCTCCGCTAGTCTCCGCCCCTGTTCCTTTAGCAGCAGTCTGGATAGGAATGAATATTTTTTTCTGCACATTTCAGCACATTAATTCTCTGATAAAGGAGTTAGAACGAGCTCTCGGTGGGCAACCCAACAGCCTTGCAGAGAGGAATGGCTTTTGTGAAGCAAGTCCAGCTAAGATGGAATATAGAAATGCTTCTAGGACATCCAGATCCATCATTCCTGCTTCCTTTCTCTTCAAATACTTCATCTCCTTATCTCTCATTTTGGGACGAAATCTATGCATTGCTGCTAGCTAAGCAAGGGCAGCAAGAAGAGACTGAAGAGCTTCGATGCGTTGGGGGAACAAAGGCACTGCCTGTTGCTATGACCTTCCCAATATTTGTGCATGCATGTGCTTTCAAAGGCGCATTTAAAAGTTGCCAGGGAATTTGTACGGGGCTCACAACCCGCACTAAGACCATGTACCCGCTCTATGCCAAACCCTTCTATAAAAGTTCTATTTATCCCTTTTTTTTTCCCGGCTAATACAATCCCTTGCCAATTATTTTGTGCCTTCCCTTGATAGCACTGCAGTGGGGAGAGTAAGGGGTCTTCATGGCTGGCAGCCAGTCAGCCTCCCCGCTTCTTTCTCCCCTGTGCTTCCACTCTTCATGAGGTCTGGTAACTTGGCATGGCCCAGCCAGGAATTCCTCAGCAGAGCATAAATGCTGACTAGGAGTTTTTATTTTTAATTTATTTACAAAATTGATCCCCATCTTTCCATCAAACAGGCCCAATGTACCAAATACTATGAAAGCATCTGTACATCAAATAGTATACAGAAAGAGCACCCAGGTTCCCATATTTAGATGCAAGACATTTGGTGGTGCGTCACTGGCTGGATCAGCTTGTCCTATAACAGTCGGAGGCTTTGTGATTAAAATGTAGGATGCATGTTTATAGGTAAATAGAAAGTGGCCCAGGCCACCTGTGCAAAGATTGCTGCCATGAAAATGCCCCTGTTGCTATTCTTCTAACTCACCCTGTTTGATTTCTAATGAGTAAAATAGGATGTATGTGGTTTCCTGGAAGTGGGATGGTCCCTAAGCCAAAAATCCTTTCCCCTTTGATCTCACCTGTGTGGTTACTTGCAATGTGTACATTTTTTGTCCTCGCCACTATTTCTGAGGACCAAAGCACACAGGACGTTAGATGTGCCCAGGGACTGCAGTTTTCATTTTAACTCTAGGCCTGTGGTTCCCAACCTTTTCTATGCACAGCATGCCTAGAAAACGTATGATTTGTTCACACCCCCTACAAAAGTAATATCACAGTTGAAGATGAAGTCAAATTTCTAATTTTTGAACTACATACAGTACTGTGAATGAAATAATTGAACTAAAAAAGCTTCTAATTCAAATGGAGTAATTAGAACAAATTGTAAACAGTAAAACCAATCCCAATCGTCAACATAAAATCAATGACTTGTGTGTTCCTGCTTCTCATTCACAATTTAGTCAAAACATAGAACTTTCTTGCCGATTCCAACCCACAAATCTGCCTGTAGATTCAGGCGATACCTTGATTTTGTCCTGATTGACAAAAGAGAACTGAATTCAAATGCAAACAAAATAATAATGTTATTAGGATAATGTTTGGTAAATCATGGCATAGCCTTCCTCTTTGTTCCACACTCTGAAATGCCACCTGGCAGCCCCTGGGGGCGCAGGCACCCCAGGCTGGAAGCCCTGCTCTAGGTGCATCCACAGAAGCTTTAAAGATTCCGAATTGCTACCCAGGTTGAACCCTCCTCACCAACTTCATAAGGAAGCCTTTCAATATACAATTCTTTTGTTGAAATAGTCCAGTTCAGTGTAGGCTTTATGGTCTTCAATTAGCTGTAGCCACATTCTGATCTGTTGATTCTGCCATTTGTTGTGTTTTTGTGATTTTATTCAGTGTCATAGTGTGTTATTACACTGCATTTATATCGTTTTTTTCCTCTTGCAAGAACCCAACACAGCTTATATTTCTCATCTGCTCCATTTTTATCATTACAACAACCCTGTGAGGTAGGTCAGGCTGAGTGAGTGAGTGGCCAAAGTCACTGAGTGATCTTCATGGCCAAGTGGGGACTAGAACTCAGGCCTCTGACCTCCTGCATTCCAGCCCTGGTTCTATTACATGCAGTTTATAAACTGTTTTGAATTATGTAGGAAAGCCAGATGCACATAACTTGTGCTCTCCTTTTCTGACTTGGATCTTTTTTCTCTCTTGCAGAAAATTATGGAGGAAGGACTGGAAAAGATGGCACAGCAGTAAAAGCAGCTCATCCAGCAGATGCAGGAAATTCAGAAAACAGTGTTTGCCAAAACAGACATCAATAGCAAACAGGTCAAACTCAGTGATAAAAGCATCAGTATCAGAAAGCAAATCAATGAGATGGAAAAATTGTGCGAACTTTCAGCCTGTAAGTTGCTACAGGTGAGGATTCTGGGTACCCCACAGGGCTAGTTCTTCTTCATCTTATCTCCTCTGGAGGTGGGCATGGAGAGTGGGCTCCCTTCAAAGCATCATTCAAAGTTGCATGACTTTTCTTTCTCACCAATCAGGCAGTAAAGGCCGTATCATGTATTGAATCCAGCTACATGTACACATTTTGGTCGTGCCACAGAACATTTCCTGCAGGGTGGGTTGTTGCTAGTTGTGAAGTTGTGTCCGACCCATTGCGACCCCATGGACAATATTCCTCCAGGCCTTCCTGTCCTCCACCATCCCCTGGAGTCCACCTAAGCTCACGCCCACTGCTTCAGTGACTCCATCCAGCCACCTCATCCTCTGCCATCCCCTCCTTCTTTTGCCATCTATTGTTCCCAGCATTAGGCTCATCTCCAGGGAGTCCTTCCTTCTCATTAGGTGGCCAAAGTATTTGAGTTTCATCTTCAGGATCTGGCCTTCTAAAGAGCAGTCAGGGTTGATCTCCTCTAGGACTGACCGGTTTGATCGCCTTGCTGTCCAAGGGACTCGCAGGAGTCTCCTCCAGCACCACAATTCAAAGGCCTCAATCCTTTGGCGCTCAGCCTTCCTTATGGTCCAGCTTTCACAGCCATACATTGCAACTGGGAAAACCATAGCCTTGACTATACGCACTTTTGTTGGCAGGGTGATGTCTCTGCTTTTTAGTATGCTGTCTAGATTTGCCATAGCTTTCCTCCCCAGGAGCAAGCATCTTTTAATTTCTTGGCTGCAGTCCCCGTCTGCAGTGATCTTGGAGCCCAGGAAAATAAAATCTGTCACTGCCTCCATTTCTTCCCCATCTATTTGCCAGGAAGTGATAGGACCGGATGCCATGATCATGATATTACACTCTTAGTATAGGTGGAAACCTAGTGTGAGGATGGATCATCTTTTATATTTAGTAACTTAAGTACCAGCAGAAGGAAAGTACAACTTAAAGCACAACATGATCTGTGTGTCTTCCCTCCTTCAGAGACACTGCCATTGAATCCAAAGGTGGAAAGAGGTAAATATCTGGGGCTGAAATATGAGAAATTAAGTGTGTAGCCCTGGTCTGCCACAACAGTAAATGAATGGGATGGAAAATGTAGAAACCACTTAATTTTCTGGTTTTTTAAAAAGTGGATCAGAACTTTCCCCAAAACAGGAGAAAGAAGTTATAGCTGCAGTTCTATGTATGTTTAACCTGGGAATAGTTCCCTACAGAACACTGTGGGATTTGATTTTCTGTAAATACGTTAGTAGTGCACCTGGCACTTAAAAAACCAGACCCCCACTTTGGCGTTGCAGCGCTAGCCCCAGTCCGACAGCCGTCAACTGAACGCTTTCCTGCAGATCAGGAAAGGTGCCAGCTTTTCAGGCTTCCCTACCTGTGTCCCTAACAGCACGTTGATCCAAAGAGATCGGCAGTGAGGATATGCTTATCTCCTTGGGACGGGAAGCCCCTTGTCCTAAGCTGGCTAGAAGCACAGCCACAGCTCGCGAGCCTTGCGTGCAGTGGGTTCGGGGCTGGCACTGCACGGACTAGACGGAGCATACGGGGCAAGCTGTTCGTTAAGGAGACGGGGGGGCACAAGTGGGCGGAATGACAGGGCGGACTTAATCCGTGCAGGAGTCAGGCACTGGCATTTAGTGATGACAGAGCTGCTGCTATGAATCAAACCGCACTCTGAAAATTAGCCTGGCGTCCTGTCTCCCCACAACAGCCAGCCAGATGCCCCTGGACAGACCCCCACGGAGGGACACACCAGCAGCACCCCTCTTCCTCTGCCTTTGCCTAGAAATAGCATTTGTAGCACTGCCTCTGAAGATGGAGGCCCTATCTAGCGAACAGCGACAGTGCATTCTTATACCTCTACTCAGAAGTAAGTCCTGCAGAGTATTGCAGCCCTTTCCTGTGTGTGCTAGAAATCCCCTGTGGGAGCTCTCCAAATCGGTGCTGTCATCTCATTCTGGGGCAGTGAATTGCACAGCTGAACTCTGCACTGTGTGGAGTACTTTGTCCTAAAACTTCCACCACTGTTCAGCTTCATTAGATCACAATCCTAGAACAGTAAAGCTGGAAGGGCCAAATCAGTGACCCTGTCCAGCCCCTTGTTCTGTGTAGGGCTCCGGTTTGGATGTATGCGTGAATTAAATCCTAAGCAAGGTTTCTCTTTCATATGTTTATGTATTGCAGATCTTAAATTGTGTGCCACCAGAGGGTGTTGGAGTACTTTTTTTCTTTTGAGGACAGCTTCCATATCGAAGCAGATATTAACCAGACAACTAGAGCTCAACTTTTTTCATTGCCCAGCTCTGTACCATCTAATAATGCACCCTTTCTCAATCTGGCGCCCTTTAGATGTAAGTACAGCTATTCCTAGCACTCCTGGCCGTAGTGGTTGGGGCCAATGGGAGCTGAAGTCCAAAACATCTGGAAGGCACTAGGCTGGGGACAGTTGGGAAGTGTTCCCCCGGAGCGTGGTCAATACCATTAACCAGCGGTTGGATCACGGGCGCTCCTGGGCTAGCCATGGGCCTCCTCTCTGTGCTTGCTTCTAGCACATGTTATGTCTCTCCTTCCACAAGCAACTGTGACTCTGGATCCAGCTCCTGCACACGCGAAGTTAATACTGTCCCGGAATCAAGAGCGCATGAAGCACAAACCTTCGCTTTCTCATCGAGCCCCTAGTTCTTGACGCTTTGTTTCTGTGCCTTGTGTGCTTGGTGCTCAGGGGTTTACTTCTGGGAGACATTACTGGGTGGCAGGGAGAGAAGCTGGGGGTGGAAAACGGGCTGTTGGTGTTGCTAAGGAATGTGTCAGCAGGAAAGGTAAGATCACAATGAAACCAGCTGAGGGGATTTGGGCTCTGAAAACACAGCTCTCCTCAGCTCTTGCTCCAAGGGACCCGCAGAATCCGTGATTATGTGGACTATGAGAATGAGCAGGCCGCATTCTTTAATGCCAACTCCAGTGACTTGATTGCGCCAGCTGCTTTTGCAGGAGAGACTGTTTTTCCATTCTTCATGCTGTTGAAGAAGGGGACTGAAGTAAAGTTATGACTTTGAAACCTGGTATCTATTTCAGATCGGTAGCAAAACTGACCCGCCTGCTTGTGTTGTGATCAGTACCAGTAAGGGAGCCGACAGGAATGTTTGGTGTAAGCTGGTAGCTCTTAAAAGACACAGAAGAACCATTGTAGTCATTAGTAGCAAGAGACATGAAGGAATTTTTTTTCTGATGGTATTGCAGGCAAAGAAGGCGGAACATTTTCTTAATCACTAGATTGTATCCGTTAATTATTTAATTTGAAAATAATAAAGCATTGAAATACTTTCTCAAAGCTCTCATCTTTGCTTATGACCTCAACAACAGGGTTAGGGGGGGAAACGTCACTGCATGCAAGTGTAAAGGACACATGACCCCTGGAATTGTGGGAGGTGAAAGGGAGCATCCTTGCCTCAGTTTTACCCTCAGCAATGCAAGTCTCCCTTCTACAGCTTGGGGGAACGACGGACCTAGTGCTGGAGCCATGTGGGCCTCCTGCTGCGAGGCCGTGCACCTCATTTGGACCACTGGCTATGCCAGCTGGAGCTGAGGGCGTTTCAGCGTAACATCCAGGGAGCCGCCTCTCTCTCACCATGGCAGTTATGCTTTAAGCTCATTGTGCACCTATGTGCTTGTAGTGTCTTTGGAGATGCAGCAGCACTGGAAACACGCCCTATATGGAAAAGTTCCGAGAAGGCCAGCGACCACTGCTGGTCCTGGATGGCCATGTGCTGCCTCTAGCATCAGGGCTAGGATGCCTATGCAGCCCGTGAACAGGACACCATACCAGGAGGCCTTTGCTTTGATCCAGCATGCGCATCCCCCCTCAAAAGCATGCTGTGCTTACACTTAGCCAGGTGCACAATGTACTGAGTGAGTTAAAATACCTAACATGCCAGTAAAGCCATTCTCCTGTCCTGTGTTGAGGAAGGCCCTATGGCATGCCAAGCGTGTAGCAAGTGTTACTTTTCCGTGCATCAAGAGCTTCATACTTAGTGACAGCCAAGGGTGGAACTCCTTGATGAGCACGAATGCACGCACGCACAGCTTTTTGTCGCAAGGGGAAATGTGCACATACCCAAGCAGAGCTATTGCAGTGAACCAATACCAAGACTTTGCTTCCTCAGCTCTTGCCAAGCGAACGTGGTCCGAGCCAAGGCAGCGCAACAGCTCCTCTAGGGCGGCGTCGGTGGCTCTGAAAAGAGCCTTTGGGTCTCAGTATTGTCCCCCGGGGCGGGGCGGCTGCTCGCTCTCCTCACTGAACGGCAACGGGAGCGGCCGTGGGCTTGACCGCAACCTTGGGCACTTTGGCGGACTTGCTCATGCTGGTGGTCGGCTTGGTGCTGGCGCCCGCGTGCAGCGTCTCCGTCTTCTTCGGCAGCAGGACAGCGTGGATGTTGGGCAACACGCCACCCTGCGCGATGGTAACGCCCCCCAGCAACTTGTTGAGCTCCTCATCGTTGCGCACCGCCAGCTGCAAGTGCCGAGGAATAATGCGACTCTTCTTGTTATCTCTGGCGGCGTTGCCGGCGAGCTCCAAGATCTCCGCGCTGAGATACTCCAGCACCGCAGCCAAGTACACCGGGGCCCCGCCGCCAATCCGCTCTGCGTAGTTCCCCTTCCGCAGCAGCCTGTGAACGCGGCCCACAGGAAATTGCAGGCCTGCTCTGGAAGAGCGGGACTTCGCCTTCGCTCGTGCTTTCCCGCCGGTCTTGCCGCGACCAGACATCTCCGAAGCCTCCACGCGTCTCCTCCCGAGGAAAAGAACGTAAATCGCGCTTGGACTGGACCGCTTTTATACATTTCTTGACAGAGCCTCTCTTACCGTGATTGGTTGAACATTATAGACCAATAGAAAGTGAGATCCTGTTTTAACCAATAAGAGAAGGTGATTGTCAAAAGTGCCAAGAGACCCTCGTGTTTTTTGGAAGCAATTTAAAATATATTTTTGTAAAGAAAGGAGAAGAACAAAAGCTAACTCCTTCTGTTCAGTTACTGATTCCAGTATTGGGTACTTTGCACTGTTTTTTCTAACACAAAGATCTATTTTCGCATGTGTTTTTACACCTACTCTACTGTACTTGAGAGACCTGAAAATACTTTGCATGGTTTTCATGCCCATACAATTTCCAGCCAAAACATTTCCTTAAGAATCTCCCGTGCATGAAAGCACTAAGGGTCCTGCCATAAAACTGCTGTGCAATTTGTTGGTGACAATTCCTTGCAATATGTTCTGAACGTCGCTTTCTGGGATGGAAGAAACACAAGCTGTGGGCGAAACTGGCGGGGGCGGGGCTTAAGCGAAGTGCGCGCTCAGCGGGCAGCGCGGGAAACGGCAAGCAGGCGCCGCTCGCTTTCCCGTCTTTTCGCTTTCCCGCCTTCCCGCCTTTTCGCTTTCCGGCCCCCTCGTTTATAGGCCCCGAAGGAGGTTCCGTCGCACGGGAAGCCATTCTGAGTCCTCGTGGTTCAAAGACCCAGCCAGTCACAATGTGCCGAAATAAAAGGAGGGTTATTAACCGCGCCGACAAAAAGAACTCCTCATTTTAAAACTTAGTTGTGACTAAGATGCGAATATATCCGACGCTGTACCTTCAGTGAGATCAAACGTTAATTATGTTACGGGGCTTACTTCTGAGTAGGCATGCTCTGTACCATATACTACCAACCTGTGCCTGCCTACTCAGAAGTAAGCCCCACTGACTCACAGGGAAACGTGCTTCGAATCGCAGCGTTATTCTTCCCTTTCTGTTAAACTGAGCTCTGGTGGTGTCGGTTAAATTAACTTGAACTTGATTACCTTTGTTTTATCACATTTTTAGTTATACCGTTTATAGACTGCGATTGCATAGGCACTTTCCTGGGAATAATAAGCCCCATTGAATACCGTGGGAGTCAATTTCCTAGTAAACATGGCGTGCAGGGTTGCATCGTAGGAGGTGTCTAACGTGCCTGATTTGATTCTCCTGAGCAGCTCTTTGCGCGTCTGAAATTGAGAAGATTTCAAATCTAACCTGTGTCGATTGTCTGTCAGAAGGCAAACTGAACATTCCTACTGTTAAATTGTATACTTAAGTCATAAGTATAGAAAGTGGCTGCAATTTAGGTTGCAATGCTAAATATTTACTGGCGCCGCTGAAACTTCTGATCCTATGCTTATGATGGTGCTGTATTTTCACAACTGTGTAAGGAAGTGTGGATTCATTGCACAACTCGATTGAAATATGGTCCTGCATCCGCCTCTGTCCTGCTGCACCCTTGCACCAGCCAGGAACAGCAGTTTTCACATATTCTTAGATCCAACACTAGAGTGGCGGGTTTTTAAAAATCAAATGGACATTCGTATCTCCTATTCTATATTCTTATATAACTTCTCGTTTTTCTTCTTTGACATCACCGTTCTCTCCCCGCAGCCCCCATTGAAAGATTTCTTCAGGCACAATTCCTCTCTTCTTCTTTCATGCCCGGAATAATGAGGTTTGGGTACCAGAATATTTGTATTCCTTTAGCACTTACTGCTGTATTTCTTCCTTGACTTTAAGGAGAAAATCCTGGCTTGACTACAGACATGCTGTGTCAATAGCCTCTTATTACTTATAGCACGATCATAACTCAGAGGTTGTGCTATAGAAAGGTGGCAGGAATCTTTTAAATAAAATATAATAAAGACCAATTTAGAAAGAAGTTTAAATGCCCAGGAGATGCTGCTTACTGTCTCTGCTTTTCCTCACAAATATTTTGTGGGATGAGATAGCTGAATTTCCAATGTAACAGAGGGAGAATTGTGGGGATGAGGGCAAAGTCAAGAATGCTGCTTATGTAAACACCACAGTGTCTGTATAGTTAAGCCACAGAGATCATCATCATCATCATCTGAACATATGCACTGCTTTGATAGTCCTACGGGACTCTTAATAACTATGAACTCAGTTGAATCAAATGCAGCACATTTTTACAAGTTAAGTCCCACTGTTTTCAATTAGTTTCATCCCAGAAAAGCGTGGATTGGACTTAAAATTCTGCGATGCTATCTCTGATCAAGATTAGCAATTAAGTATGTGCATGGGGCGGGGAGGGGTATATGCTTGCATTCACTTACCTCTGGACTCCTCTCATTGATCTCTTCTCACAGACCAAGCAGATTCTGTCCAAGTTGATGATACCCACTAGTAAAAGTCTCATTTTACTTTCATTTCTTTCCCTGATGTTTATTGGTAAACTTGGGATTCTGTTTTGTGACAGCGGCTGGAAATAGGGAAACGAATTTTGCCTGCTATATTAATTTAAGGTAGTACATACTCTCTAGTAGGGCAATCTCTTTATTAGGACCACGGCCAGTTAAAATATCACAAATTAAGGAGCGAGCTTTTTAGTTTAGCAATCCTTATACATTATCTTCCATACTTCTTTCTCGTTCACCCTCTCAGTCCTTGCAATTTGTAACACCTTGCGATAAATCCCCATTTCAAGTATATTGATTTTAATGTATTGGGGGGATTTGTGCTAACGTCCACGATTTCATGCCATGCTATACGTAACACCATACAAAGCACATCTTCACGGTTTACTGAGCCCAATACCTATTTTGGTTAGTTCTTAGCACTGAGAGGTGACTCTGGATTACTCCCTGTTCTCTCCCTCTGCCAAGGGTCATGTTGTTACAAGTAACGGAACTCTGTGAACCGAAAGCGAGTGGAGCGGTGGGGAATCGATCCGACAACACAGCCAGAGCCTGCGTTCTTATACCATGGCAGGCTAGCGTTGCAAATCATTCCTCTCTACAGGCCGTCGATTTGGCGGCGAGAGGGTCGACAATCCCCGGTGCAAAGGGCTGTCAGGGATTGGTCGTTGTTCGGAGCCCCATGAGAAAGGCACCAATACCGCCTGGTTGTAGGGCGAACTTCCTCGGGCCACGCCCCCTTTCCTGCCGGGCCTGACAGAAGACTTCAAGCAGCCGCAGCCCGCTGTTCGCACCTACGTAGGGGTGAAAGGAGCGCCCGCTTTGCTTAACCTTAAGCGCATAAGATTTCAGAGTAGAACTGCTTTCTTCTTTCCTTAAGAAGGCCGCCAATTAAAGGACTGGCGACCTCTCGGAGAGGAAACGTTTGTTGGTGGAGGCGGCGGCTTTTTGTGACATTTGTTGTTAACGCGTGCTGTCAAATCGTCTCCGCCCTAATAGGTTTTTTCCTATTTTATGCTGCACTTTCCTAATATGAAGCCCCACACTCGTTCAGCCTAATCAAGTTCAGGCAGAAAAGCAGCCGGTGTAGCTTTTCCTGGGATTAGAATATCGTGTTTGAAAAGCTTTCCTGAGGTACTTACGTTAATAACGCGTGTTATTAAAGGTAGCAAAGCGTGGCAGAAAAAAGCGGCTGCTTTTCTTTACCACGTCACGCGGCAGCTCCCGAGGAAAAGGGAAAGAGCTTGAAAATTACTAGGTGATAGGCTTCGGCAAGGGGCGGCATAGAAATGTTATAATAATAATAATGTATAATTCAATAGGGATAACTTACACAGGTATAATCATGCAAATATTAACATATAGCTGGACCAGAAAACGAATCTTTTTCTCTAGATATCAGCACGTGTGCATTCTTGAAATGTAGCTGACACTAACCAGGCACCATTCCAGAGAAAGCTACTTGGCACTTGACAGATAACAGCAGTTCGAACAGCGGGCAATTCACACCAGCCCAGCCCATCTGCCTCCTCTTCCCCAGAAAAACACCCTATTTTCCTCTCCTCCTTTGAGCCATCTTCTTTCTCTTTGGAGTGCAGGCAGGGTAGATCATGCCATTGTAACTTTACTTCCGTAACTTATTGGAAAGTGTTAACTGTGCTACGTGTAATCCTTTAATGATCAATGTATAAAAGAGTCAACTGGGGACTGCCCAGGTGCGCCACCTGGAATGATTTGTTGGCAGCCGGTTATTCTCAAAAATACATCTTACAACAAACCAACCTTCCCCTTTTGCTTATTTTGGGCATAAGCACACCAGGACAGAGCATTTGGTTAACAGGGGTAAGGGAACTGTAATATAGCCCATTTGCTTGTGATCCGGTTGGGAGCCACTGCCCACTTTTTTACAAAGACCAAGAGAGCAGACTCAAAAAGAATGGGCAGAGCTCTTGCACTTTTAATAGTTGCACAGGAGGAATTTCAGCACCTGCTGTTTGCATGACAAGCTATACCTGCTAAAATGTCCTCTTCTATACACCTTTTAAAGGTGCAAGTTCTGCTTCTCTTTTATTTGATCATCCCATCTATGAACATATTCAGCACAGTCCTGTACTCCATGTATTTCTTGTTGCATGTCTCCCAGTTTCTACAAGCACTTAGATTTCTACCATCCGTATCCCAAATAATTAGTATCCTCAAAGTGGGGAGGGGACAAAGTGAAATATGAGATCCGACCTGGTTGAAAACTGAGAGATCTATTAAACACATTCTGAAAGACCCAGCATTCTTTCTGCTCTTCATCTTTTGCAGCCAGTAGCTGGCAACCTTACCATGTGATATTTAAATTAAGTTGACTTTAGACTATAAATCCAACTTCCTTTTCTCAGAAATTTGCAACGAATAGCCTGGATCTCCAAAAACCTATCAAATAAAGTCAAATGTTTCCCACCTGCTCTGTACTGACAAAGGCTTTACTCATTTATTGAAATTTTGTAAGGGTATTTTATTTGCTCTGAGAGCAAGTGTGGTGCAGGGGCCAGCGTGCTGGACTGGGGACCTGGGCGATCGGAGTTCTAGTTTCC